TCATCTATTCTGCCCATTGCTGGGCGGGAAAAACATGGTCCCCGCTGTTTTGACCCACTGCCATATTGGAAAAAACATCGAATTGCATGCATGGTGCTTCGACCCCGTTGACTCACATCAACTCCATTGACTCTCTTGCAGCATGAGGAATCCATGATGAGCAGGCGATGCTGATGAAGCGTACCGCACGTGTGCGGCGAAATCTGAAGCTCGGCGATCGACCAGGGTGTTGGCGCGTGACCATCGCAACGGGAGTTTTGGGCTGGCCAAGCGTTGCTCCAAAGGTTGAAGGATTAGGAAGACAAGGGAAAAGGCAAAGGCTTGGACTTTATCCGAGTCTTTATCATCAAATTCGAAGCTGTCCTAAAATAGTTGCTGCTTCCGTATTCCAGAGTAGGTCAGAGGCCATGGGAAGATTGAAGAAGGGCACATGAGAGTGCGCATGAGATATTCAGTCATAGACTCAGATGGCGCTCCAGGGGAGGTTGTCACCTTTTGTCCATGCGCTGCGCCAGTCCAAGGAACATGGCATGTCGGAAGTTTGCCCCAGCCTTACCAGATGTTGCAGAGTCTGTTGTCAGCTGCGTGGTCAAGACTGACTGAGCTACATCACTAGAAGTTCCTTGTTCAAGTCAGCTTTTGACTCGAGCATGAGTCACAGTCACACTTCAAGACTAGAAACGTTTTGGATCCACATCATGTGATCACAGTGAGCGTATCACCCGTAATTCACATGTGAGATCACCATCCTTTTCTTGGTTTTCCGGGTTTTCATAGACTGCGAATGCCTCCAGCCGCAGCACTCTGCTTTTCAGCCCACGGCGAGCGACGCGGAATGCCCTGCTGAGGCCGGGGTGAAGGCCTTCACGGTGGAGGGTGCAGCGAAGATCTTCAAACAGCTACTTGGGCGGAGAGAGATGGGGCTTGTGAAGGAATGTATGAGTCTCATTCCTGTAATTAGGATAGGATTGGATGGCATCGAAAAGGTCGCTTGTTTTTTTCTATATATATATACACATAATTATTCGATGTTCAAGAAGAACGTGTTATGCCGCATATACATGCATATACTCGAAATGGACATGGCATATTATGGCAAGTGAATTTAATGCATCCTCTATCATCCCCTAAAGTCTTCTCAAAGATATTCCAAATATCGGGAAATGAGCTTTGGGGAGTTGAACAAGCTAAAACGATAAATGTTCTCAGTAATTACTGAGATCCAAGAACCCAGATGTGACGTCTGAAACGACCTACCTCTTTTGAAGAGAGCAAGGGCATCGCTACTAGGAACAAGGACGCTACGAATGGGGCTCCTGGCCTTACTACTAGGAGCAAAGGACGCTACTACAAAACTCCTGGTAACAAAAAGGCAGATCAGTCACTCTAACGCTACTAGGAGCAAGGGCATCGCTACTAGGAACAAGGACGCTACTAGGGGCTCCTGGTAACAAAAAGGCAGATCAGTCACTCTAACGCTACTAGGAGCAAGGGCATCGCTACTAGGAACAAGGACGCTACGAACGGGGCTCCTGGTAACAAAAAGGCAGATCAGTCACTCTAGTCACCTAATTCGTTTGATGTTTTGCATCACACAATCTCATTGACTCCAAGGCTGGATTTCGAAGGCGACGGGCACCTCTCCAAGTCCCTCGACCGACCCGCGGTCCGCGTCACCATGGACCGCGTCCGCTCCGGGGGACCGGAGGGTCTCAGGTAGCAAGGACGCGAACGGGGGCGCGAGCCCTGGCATTACTAAGAAGAAGCGAACGTAGTAATAAGGGCATCGCTACTAGTAACAAGGGCATTACTACTAGTGGCAAGGACGCTACTAGGGTTTTCATCTTGATTGCCTTCCCCTGTTTAACATCCTTTTGATGGGTTCCGGATGTTTCGGAAAGAATAGGTGAATGACACAATGTTGCTCAGGCACATCTCACCAGCAGTTGTCCGCTTTGGTTGGCAATCATGAGATGGGCTGTGGGTCAAGAGGCGAAACTTGAGATACGTTTTGACCTTCGAATGGTGCGGGTGTCGCGGTTGGGGCTTTGCCCGTTGGTTTTTGACGGTGTAGCTTTATGATCATGGAGCAAATTGAAGAGAGATAAAGAGGATATGAGTTGATGTGATTGACTATGATTATGGTTGACAGCCTTTTGCAAAAAATGCGTAAGCCCTGAAATAGAGACCACTCTCACCAATGCCTTGCAAATAGAGTTCGAAGAATCCAGCAATTTGAGATGTTCATGAGAGTTGTCCCGCTTTTTCAACCCCCAAGGCACGAGTTCATCGAATTTGTGCGAGGGGGGCTGGGCTTGTCTATGTGGGATGTGCCGGAATCCGAGCTTCTTCAGCTTCTGGGCCCAAAGCTAGGCGTGGCAGCGAAGGTGGACGGAACGATGAGGAGATTGTGGGACTTCAGCACGTGCTAGTGGCCTTGGGATCTAGCTTGGTGTGGCGCGACCCATTAAGCACATCAAACCTGTGACAAAAGGGGTTGCCATTCCAGGGCTTGTCCACTTGGGTTCACTGTGAGGTTGTAGGTGTATCACGTGGGTGTTGTAGGTTTATCACTTGGTTCGTCGGAGTCGCGTGAATCTAGAAGGACGAGGTTCGCCACTAACAGGGAGTCCCTATGGAAGAGCAGTGAAGTATCTGCGGGGGTGGATCAACGGGTCAACGCATTTCAACGCCCTAGAAAGGTCGGGAAAGTAAGTTTAGTATGTGTATGTATTTATATATATATACATGTTTAGTTGTTTCTTGGTAAACATTAGGTTGGAGGCCATTGCTACTAGGTTGAAGGCCATTATTTAATTTCCCCATTGAATTATTGGGGAGAAGATGACATGTGAAGATTCACTGCGCAAAAGACGAGTTTGTGGATGTGTATTCTTTGGGGTACCAGGGTTGTGAAATGCAAGATATGCCCTTCCAGCAGGGACCTACCAGTGACCTATCTCCAGAGTTTGCGACATTTCGAGGTGTTGCCAGATGTTTGTGAGCGGACTTTTCGCAAGGTGTAAGAAGAGCATCGCAAGAGTCATCTTGAGCAACGTGGTTTCGGCTCACCTCAGTTGTGATCTTCATCCAGCCAAGTGAAAAACTCCTTGTCTGGATGGGAACGGGTGTGTTCTTTTTTCAAGTGGCCCCAAGCCCCAAGCCCGTTGGCCATGGGAACGAGGCTCTGTCTCTTGGCAAAGCACTGTCACGTCACACGCACCAACTTGTCTCTTTGTGTGCCCGAAGAACGAGGGTCTCAGTCCGGTTTCACGGACCTTTAGGGCCCAGTTCCGGGAAAAATAAAGAATAAAGAACATGTGCAGAGGTTTTTTTCAATTCAATTTGGGGGGTAGAGTCTATCAAGAGTCTATCAAGAGTCTATCAAGAGTCTACATGTTCCAATCCTGGTGGTTTGCCACCCTTGGGAGGAAAAGCCATTCATGCCTCTCCTGAGTAGCCCCTCAAAAAAACACACCCCAACCCCGGTTTACTGAACGGACCGGGTGAGTGTTTGAGGTTTTACGTCATCATGGACCAAAACAACGATGGATTGGACCCCATGGAGTTGCTGGAGTTCATTCAGGGGAATCAGGAGGAGCGGCCGAGGGCCGGGTTGACCCGGCGGAGCAGTCGTTCGGGAATAGGATGTGAACTACAAGAAGCTCGGCTTGCGTTTGGATCACTTGACTTAATCAGATGCCAATGTGAAGTTGACCAGAAGCAGCAAGGGGCAGGGACTATGATGATCCTCAACCCCCACCGCCAGCCCCTCAATTATGGCAATGCCTCCACCAGCAGCACCAGATTTTTGCTCACTCAGAAAGCTTTTTTCATGAATTCTTCCCAAGAGCGTACTTCAGGTGTATTATATGATCTGCTCTTGCCGACAGAACTTTTCCAGGCTGACCACCTCACCCCTCAATCTCCAGCCTTTCAAGGCCCGATTTCGGGCCTGATATCGGGTATTTGCAGGAGATGGCGAATCGGACCCTCTTCTCCTTTGCCGAGATCGCACCAACGGGGGCAAAGGTTTCGCGCACCTGGGCAAAACAGAGTGATTTTGCGCAAAAGATGCATTGACCCATTGCGAACCCGCCAAAGGAACGACTCCCGCGGAATGCTGGCCGGGGCCGGAGTGGATGGACGCTCTGTGGTGAGGTCAGAAGGAGATGGAGATGCGTTTGAAGAACAAGCCGAGCCCGGTCTTCATGAACAGCGGCCGGCGACGGCCTCCAGCAATGAGGCTCCTAAGCACCTTGCCAAAGAAAATTACATCTTGAGGGCAACTGGGACAGAAGTTGGTTTATAGATTGCCCACTACGAAATGCACATACGTTTGCGATTAAGGGGATGAACCTCATAGATGTCTATAAATGTTTATAAATGGTGACCTCTGTTTGCAGTTTCACCAGCTCTTGACAGAAGCTAAGACAAAACCTGATCGACGTGCTGGCCACATCTGAGTGAGCCACAGCGCGCGAGCCCTGCCGAGCCCTGCCCCGTGTCCGCACGCGCCAAATGGCGCCGGATGCAAAGCATTGCACAGGGGCCAAAGAGAGAAGCTAAGCAAAGAAAAGGAGACTTGTCATGGTGATACGAGAAACTCCAAAGACAAGCATCTAATAAATTCGGCAAGTTCCTAGTTCTGAGCATTGCAACTACGATAGGTGCAGGAACAAATGACACATGAGCCATTTTCAGACGACTTGGCCACCATGACTTGGCCACGTTCGTTCTGAGCTTCGATAAGATCCAAACACTACTTGGGCCCCACCTTCCCAGGGGTCGGACCCGACACCGAAACCCGGTCCGAGCTCCGAATCAAACCCTATCTACATCTATTTACCATTTGTTGGTTCGAGCCCGGATTCTTAGGAAAAATCCAAAGACTGCTTGAACCAGGTGTCATTCTTGGATTTGAACCAGACTTCTGAACCAACGCACGGATTCGCTCACTGCTTCCTGCTTTCACGAATGTCGTCGAATGGGCTCACCAGGCTTTGGAGCCCACGGTGGTGATTGATGTCAGAAAGCTCAGGGAGACACACACGATGACCGTTGAATTCGACCGTTGGGTGTTCGGCTTTGGGCGGCTTTTTGGGGGGGGGAGTGCTTTGGATTTGGTTTTGGGGTGCCGAACTGGAACACACACGAAAAGTAGACCGAAACGAATACCATCGAATACCTAACTTGAAAGATTTCACAAGCAGGTTTGCCAAGCACTTTATGTGGAGGTGCATGTTTTTGCCTCTAGGAAAAGTCGGTGTTCATTCTGTTTTAGGTTGGAAGCGGAAAGTGCAAGGCGGGCATTGCCGGCGAGGCCGGGGTGGGAAGGCCATGGGAGGCCGGAATTCTTTGATTTGCAACAAGTTCAGAGCAGATAGAACAAACACAGGCCAGTTGACATGAGGATCCTGGAAACCTTACCTGGCCCAGTGTACTGCTTGCCTTCATCTACTATATCATCTACGTAACGTCTTGAACTCACATGGATCTGATGTATTCCCCACAAGCCGACTTAGCATTTCCCACATGACTTGGTGCGACTTGTTTTCGTCAGGAACACCCCACCTGCGTGTTCACCTCCATCATCGGTCGCCCCAAGACGGACCCGACCTTAGTGCACCGCAGGTCCACGGTCCCGGGTCCCGAACAGGACGTACGGACAGTGGTGTGGTAGGTAGACGACGTAGCTTGGAGGTCAGGCCCACAGCCAGAAACTGGACGGTGGTTTCTTTTTTCAAATGCCAATGGACATCGCTGGTAGCTGATGTCATCGTCTTCACGTCAGCTTCACATTTGAGTTGCAACATACTGCAACATTATGTGTTTTTAGATGTAGTTCAGCCATGTTCAGCCAGAATATGGAATCAAACTCCAAAGCCTCAAGATGACCATCCTCCTCTTCATTGGCTTTGCACCAAGGAGAATGTCATGCAAGGCTCCGGTGATAAAGCTTACTACGTTGGCTGCTTGGTCCGATCATTTGCCTAGCTGAGCGACGGCTCGGCTCGTCGGGGGTCAGTCGAACGGCTCAACAGGGAGCCGTTCGGAGCTCTGGGCCGCCCTGAATCCATCGGTGTCACCGATCCTCGGCGCTTGCGAGTCGTATCTGTTGAGTCTCTTGAAGTGGTCCGTGGTGGCATGGGATCCACTGAGGTCAGGGATCCTTTCCGACAGGTCCATGGTTTTGGGAGGAATCGGAGGATGTTTCTTGGCCCTTCAGGGGGATGAATCTCCGAACCGGGAAAAATACTTGTAATATCTTGTAATGTGTTTTCTATGTGTTCCCGGTTCCTGAACAGCAAGTCCAAGAACTATATGTTGATCCATGCGGATTTGCGGGGCCACGTGCTCCTTCAATGTTTGCCGTTGGCAGATGCATCCTCCAACTGGGTTTTGAGCCTCACGTCTGGGCCGAGCGAAGTGTCCGGGATCGGGGAGTTCGATGGGAACTTGTTCAGATGGAGAAAGCACTTTCTCCTGCAAAACAGGCAGCCTGGACGGATCTCCAAGTCTACCCTCCCGGGAAACCAGCGGTTGGTACAGAGGAGAATGGTCATCCAAGGGACCATTTTTTCCATGATCATTCCAGCGAGTGTAAGTCAAAAAAACAAACTGTCTCGGAAAATTAGACATCCAATAACATAAAAAGGCATCGAAAAGAAAAAGAAGGATGAGAATGCCCCCTTCAACATGTCCAGCGAGAAACTCATCACATGTCAAGCCTTTCAGACAGCAGTCCACCATTGTACACTCCCGGAAACTAACATGAACCCGGGTCGAATGGCATCATGAGTCCCACTGTTTTCCACTCCCCAGTGGTTTTCGTAGGCAAGACCCTCCCAGTCTTGCACTGAGGAGAGGATGCTCAAGCGAAGCGTGGCATCCTAAAGATCTCCTACCCAGTGGAGCACGGCATCGTCCAGGCCTATTTTGTTCTCTTCTACTGCACGCCTTGCGCAGTCGTGGTAGTTCGAGCGGCACCGAAGATGGCTGCGTATGTATCGAGCCCTGCCGGACCACACCGAAGAAGAAAGAACCAAAAAAAACGAAGGCAAAGCACCCTGCAAAACGAGAGGGGGAAGGGAGAGGAGTGCATTTCGACGCGTCGGGGTGGACGCGTCGTGTTTTCGGGTCATGGGTCATCGACGGGGATGATGCATCGGTTCAATGGAAACGGGATGAAAGGGGGTGCATGGTGTAGCAAGAATTGGGAGATGTCACGGTCCGATGATCGAAGGTAGGACACCTGCCACACTCTGACATGTCGAGCAAACATCTGCACCACGCCACACTAAAAAGGAATGATATCGGCACATTGTCTGGGGGAATCCATATCGTATGTATGTTGTACCTATAAGATGGAGAGCTTGCCCCTTCATGGTCATTGACAGCTGGATGTCAACAAAGACAAGCATACAGAATCTGTAGAAATTGTCGGGCCAACTCCCGGTGAAAACGTTTGGCAAAGGTTCCAATCATGCATCTAATCCAATCCTGTGCAAAAAAACGGCTAAACAATCTATAGGTCAAGAGTCCTCAGAGTCCTGTGATGGAGTTGTCAATGATCCTTTCAGGATGTTTCGTTACTTGCAGTTGCACAACCTTCGGCACTTGAAGTATCTTTCTTTTGGGAAGGTCCATGCGTGGGGGTCTGGGGCTTTTATGGCAGGACTGGGAAGATATGGAGATCATTTGGAAGCACACCTTCTTCAACCAGCTGAGAGTTCAGCCGACCGAAGCTTGGAGAGACCCTTGCGTGGTGGGGGTGATGTGACTGAAGTACAGCTGGGGGGAGGCCCAGTGGGATTCCTTCTACGTGGAAGGAATCTGTGAAGATCGATGTGTTTCATCCAAGCTTTTCGGTCACACAAGCAAGTTGGTGTCAATGGATGCTTTTGAGGTCAAAATCAACCAGACTACTTGAAGTGGGACCAACGAGGGAGAGAGCTTATAGCCTGTTATTTGTATAGCATATGCCCACTGGCAATTCCACTAGCATTGGCCACAAGCACTGCTTTTCGGGGATTGGAATGGACGGGATACACGTCTTGAATCTACAGTGGTTTCAGAGGTTCTAGATGGCACAATCCCCAAGTTTGGTGGTTTGTATGGACCCTCATCTAAAAGACATGTATAGGAGTTTGTGCCATCTACTCTCCATCCACTATACTTATAGCCTTTCCAACCTCCAGTTGCACCGTCGGGGTACTTGAGATCCATGACTCTAGTGACGAATCTTTGCCTTCAGTGCCCCTCATTCTGAGGAACGGGCGGTGCTCCTAGCAGAAGCTGCTCTGAATCCCAAGGACGGGCCACACTCAGGTGGTCAATGATCATCGTTTCCTGCTGCCAAACTGCCGTGCCCGATCTGTGGTGTTCTTGGGTGGACAGACCGACGTGTTCTATGGGTGTTCCTTGGCCGAGCCTTTCCCGCCGAAGACGGGGACCGAGTCGACCGAGGGGGACTTCCCCTGCTCACGTACAGAACACAAACAGCTCAATGGTTGAGTGCACCCAACTCACACAGCGGACAGTACTGGAAGTAACAACCAGACCGGTTGGAAGACCGAAACCGACCCAACCAGGAATCACCCGACTGCTCCGGTGTCGGCGGTTTTGGGGTGTCCAACGGATCCATTGATGATCCTTGTGTTGTTCGTGTCAGCGATGTCAATGGATGCCCTGCCATCCAAATCGAAGCTTCGGCCTATCGCCTTTGTCCTGCCAGGCCAATCGCGAACGAATGACTCAGATCATGTTCGAGGTCTTCTACACACCCGCGATGTGCGAAACTCAGTCCAGGGCAGGCTGCTTGGCACTTGAAGGTGTTGGAGGGAGTCTTCCAACATACCCCTGGACCATTCTATGTCTATTCAATGGGTGGTAAGACCATGACCATGAATGACCACCAGGCAGAATTGCCAGGAGGATCTTCCAACTGTTTGTGGTAAAGTAAGACTGTCCTTGGACCGATCCCTTTGCTTGCTTACCAACAGCACCAGGCGCGGGACGACCACCACAACCATCCAAGCAGCCCCGATGAATCTTCATGAAGTTCACCAAGCAGCCCCGGTGGGTGATGAACAGCATCCCCAAACCCAAAAAATGTGGCTCATGATGACTCATGAATCTTCATGTACAGAACGCTCCACCAGCTGAGTCTTCGTTCCGTCGCTCTCGCTCTCGCTCCGAGATACGTCTCGACACAAGCCGTCCTGGCGCTCTATGCCTCCGGGCGCACCACCGGGACCGACCGGACGACGACGCACCGAAGCTTGCTTCAGAACTCCGCTGGACCCGCTTTTGGACGAGGGTCGTTGCATCATGGAGATAACAGTTGTGAAGTCAGTTGTGATGTCCATTGGCCATTGGATGTATACGTAGTATGTATGTATTAGAGGTACAGGTCGGTACCTGTACCCCCCCCCAAAGAAATACACAGATTAGACCAAAATGCCTCAACCATCACACCATCAAAATCAGCACACCCAGCCGCTGGGCTGCGTGCGATGCCCAGTGCAGGATTGTGTGCGACAGTGGCGATGGTGTGACACACGTGGTGCCCGTCTACGAGGCCGACCTCTTTGGTCTTCGGACCTTTAGGGAGACCCAGGGAGACCAGGAAGCGACTGGGGTGAAGAAATGGTTGGGGAGACCGATACGAGCAAACTCTTGCACAGTTACAGGGAGGAGATAGATGTTCTTGCAAAAATTTGGTCGAATGGTTTCGGGTCCTTTTCAAAAAGGACTCTTGGACGGGTCACAACGGGAAAACGCCAGTGGCCCCAGGTATTGTATTTGGTTGTTTACAATGTGTACCGTTTCATGCTCGCAAAGACCCAAAAGAATGTAGTTTGCAAAAGAATGTACTGACTGTAGTTCGCAGGGCGCTGTCTCACCAGACCAAAATATCCCAAAAGTCCAAGTCTGAGTCATTTGGATGAAGTGGCATATTCAGTTGGTGGAATGGTCCATGAGTCATTGGAGGTTCTCACCATGGAACCGTTATATACACTGTTCTAAGAAAGATCTTTAAGAGCTCTTTGACATATCCCAAAAGCCGAGAAGCCTCACCTATGTCAATTCTCAGTATGACTTGTTCATCCCAAATCTCCGGGGCCCTATCCTAGAGCTCAGGCGGCTTGAAGCTTGGCCATGGGTTTTCACCGGTGTCCACGTCCTCAGGGGTTCCTGGTGCCTCATGCCGTGGGCCGCGTACACTTGGCGGGTCGTGAGCTCACGGAGTGCGCGCACCGCGGCCACCGACCCGGGGGAAAGCGGTGCCGCAGACGCGGTTCGGAACGCACTCGTGGTTTTCTTGACGGCTGGACGTGTGTATTTGGTGACATACTGGTTGCCTTCTCGTCTTACTAAGATCCAAGTGCTTCAAGACAGCAGTGGCTGTAGAGATTCTTTGCCTGAGAGGTTGAACAGCCTTTCGTGAAGTTGGCCAAGAGTAGCTCTCGTTTCAGAAACAAATCTGTGCACATCAATGGTGTGTCCTTAAACCGACCCGATCACACCCCATCTTCCACCAAGGCCACGGAAGTCGCTCTTCTCCCTAGATACATGGCTTCACCGCGGGTTCATTGACCCTGGAGGTCAGTGATTCAGTTTTGCAGGTACGTGATGAAGCTGGTGGCCGAAGCAGGCCCGCAGCGGTTTTTTCTCGGAAGTTCGCAGGGAAAACGGAAGACAATGGGGCCCAACCATGCTGCACCACTTAGGGTGCATCCCCTTACCAGTAGCAGTCAGTAAAAGATGGTCTCCATTTATTGAGAAACTTACTAACCATCATCATCCACTGGCTTGATGGGATAGACCCTGTTGAACCCGTGGGTTTTTCCATGGAACTTCTGCATGTTGGTCGATGCTTCCTGCCTCCAAAGGTCCCCGCAGAACCTCGGCATGACTCGAGGAACCCCCCCCCTGCGGGTCCGTCGCATCGCGCCATGGTCGATGCTTTGGTCAACTTGATCGACCAAAGCTTTGAAGATCGCGTTTTACAGATCGCGTCAAGTCGAGTGATATCGATCATGGAAGAGTGGTCTGCTCCTCAGTACGCACAGAGACCTGCATGTTTGGAAGGTGGGTGATTCGGTGACTCCAAAAGGATTCTGATAGTTCCCGAGCACGGAGAAGCACGGAAACTCTGGCAAGGTCTTTTTTCTGTCGAATCCAGGGGCGCCCAGTGGTCCTGTCAAAGTAGAAAGATCAGTTGGCTCTCCGACTCTTGAGTCCTTGGAGGTCGGGCTCGGCCACACCGGCATGTGCGACCCCAGCATGTTGCTAGGCACTGCCCTCTCCACCAGTGCCGAAAGAGATGCTTGTTTGCAGAAGACTTTGTTCTTGTCCTTGTGAGACCACATCGGTTGTGAGAACCCAGAGCCTGCAGGGGGGGTTCAACCAAGAGCCCAAAGCTTAAAATCAAAGTTCAATGTTTACATGTTGTGACCAGCAGTCTATATTATATAAGGACCCAAAAAATAGGTAGTAGGAAAACAGATCGACGTCGAACAACTTGCTGAAATTGTCTACACCCCCTGAAACTATCATGGATGTGGAAAATAGCTCCTTGCATGACCATTTTCCTCTACAAACTGGTTGCTTTTGCACCTTACATGATTATTTCAGTGAGTGTATCTAGTTGTCGGGGACCGGTTTGTACCTAACACACTTGTTGACCATCAAGTCCAGTCTTCACGTTTTCAGCTGCCCCCTTTTTCCGCTGAAACGGACCGGCCCAGGAAATTGCTCGGGACATCAAGGAGAAGGCGTGGAACCCCACGGCCCTTGTTGGGAGGACGAAAAACCTTGGTTGGGAGGTCGATTTGGAGCTCCGTAGTGCCTCATCTTTGAGTACTTGAACACTTGAAGACCTGTCATGAGGCAAGTGAAATATATATTTGGATCATTTTGGATCTATATATAGATAAGATATATAGATTCGATCCCAGGTGCAAGAGGTTTGCCAGAGTGAGCTTGGAAAGTGCTGAGGCCCTGTGCCACAAAGGTATGGTTAGTTTGAACCTGTTTGAGGATCATGATTTCTAGCCAGTTGATGCCAGTTGATGCCATCGCACATAGACAGTGACTGTGCTTAAAACCCTGCTTCCAACCATGGAGAGAAGATGCCAAAATAACGAGAAAGTATGAGAATGTCCATGAAAACCTATGATGTCGAGGAAAGGCTTGCAGGGACCGCTCTTTCTTTTTTGAACTGTCCATTGTGTGTTTTCTGAATTTCTTGGATCATGTTTGATGAAAAAGTGTCGTTGATCATCACCTTGACATCTCGCTCTCGACAGCTCCAAAGGCTCAGTATCTTCATTTTGTGCGCGCACGCGGGACTCTACTGAAAACCGTGAAAACTGCCAGTGCTGCTATGTGGCTGAGAACTACGAGGCTGAGTTGCACAAGGCCCAGCAGAGAGCCGCAGAGAGCGGGATCGTTGATGGTGGTCACATGCGCTGTGTCTTGCAGGAGGGGGGGAGTGCCTAGTGAAGAGGGAATAACACGGAGATACCCGGAGTCATTGGAATGTCCGTGAATCAAAAAGAAACGAGTAGCAACCACTGTGGATTCAGTACGTAATCAGCTGGCCCAAAAGGATGCACATTGAAAAGGAAACGCCACTGGCAGTTCCCTTCATGTTAGAAAAGGCGTATCTTTGGTCGGTCTCCTTGGCAGAAGTTAGTTGCAACATAATCGTGGGACGCAGGCAGAGACTTCCAAGGAATGTACCATGACGCATGCTGCTTGGATGCATTCAAGAAGCTTCTCACCCCTTAAGATGGCACACCAAACTATAGATATTGTATGATCTTGTAGATTGTAGATCTTTCTATTGACCAGATGATCCAGATGGATGATCCAGGGCCTTTTCAAGAGATGAATCCTAATGAGCCAGTCATCCCTGCAATATAAGCAGATATCAAGCTCGTATGAACACAATGCAGAGTCATGTCATGTCATTTCTATAGGACTTGGCTTTCAAAGCGAGCAACGGTCGACGTCTCAAAAAGAAAGACATAATGGATAGGACACAGAAATAATCCAGCTCAAATGCAGGGTTATACATGTACAGTCATTCTCACGGTGGTCCCTACTACATTTTGGCTCAAGGAGAAAAGAAGCCCGCGGAGCTCCCGCTAGGTTGTTTCGTTTGGGTTTCTTTGCCACTTAGCCTTTGGACCTGTTTTCATTGGGTTATCAGCCGTACTGGCTTTCCCCCTACATACTTTCCCTTTCCATATATTCACATTTTACCCTCGCCCGCGCGGTGCCATTTCTGAAGTCTTCAGCCGATCCTTTGGTATTTGAGTTTTCTCGATACGCTTGGTTGATCGCGTCGACGAGTGAATGCACACGAGGCGTCCGAGACCGAGGGGCGGCAAGAGTGCGAAGCGTCAGAAGCGTCGGAATCAATTCGCACAGGGCTTTAGCAATCAGTTGGAGAACATCTTGAGTACCGCGGACGCGACTCAAACTTCTTCTGATCTTGGAGCGGCGCCGCAGATTCATTCGTCATCTTCGAGTTCCGGGGTGGTTGCTGTGCCTAAGCCGAGCGCTAGTGCTAAGTATCAACCAGCGAAACCTTCTCAGAAAGTGGGTCCTTCTTCATCGGTGCGAGTGGTTGATTTTCCCGACAGTGCCTTTGTTGAAGAGATTTCATCGGAAGAGGAGGTTTCAGTGAGCAAGGAGGTGATCGAAGCTGGTGGGACGGAGAGTGACTACATCTCAGTGAGGCGGCTGAGCGAAGTGTCACGTGGTGTTGATCAAGCAGTTTTCGACTTGCCGAGGTGGGTTTCCGGAAGCGTGATTGTGAATAAAGTTGCATTTCGGGACGAGCAGGGCGAATTCTATCTTGATTCGGCGAGCGATTTGTTTGAGTCCTTGAAAGGTTGCGTGGTTCTTGACCTGTATAAGACGGTGATTTTTTCCGGAGCGACTTTCATCGAGAGATTCAATCAGACTTGCAAAACACCGGGGCGAATTCCAGACGATCGAACGGGGGACGCTGTCGTTTATCTTTGAGCTTCAGAGGAACGGGTTCACTTTTTGCGCGTGTTCTTTCATCGGAAAGGCGGCAAGTGGTGAGTACATTGAGGCTTTGATTCAGAGCGAATTGGCAGCAGTCATTCCTGTGATCTTTGTTATTTACAATCGCGATCAGAAGGCCAGTCTTGCAAAGGAGCTCAGTGCGGTAGCTGCGATTGACGATCAGAGAGAGGTTGTTCGGCAGTACCGGGATTCTGGTATCTTTGCGATTGAAGTCAGGCGCGATTTTGGAATTGCAACTAACAAAGAGGAGATCATTCGGCAGTTGCGTGATCAAGCTGGTGGTCAAGTGGATCGTGAGGTAAAGCCAAAAGGAGTCCCATCGGGTTTGGTGAAGGATCGCAAGTGAAAGGGATTGCAGGTGGAAGGGGTGCGTGAGTAAGAGATCATACAAAAGACACAATGTCAACAAATCAGACATCCAGTGGTTCGAGCGAATTGCATTTGGCAGTTGCAACAGTCGACCAATCCATGGTGAGTTCGGTTGGGGATGCATCTCAATCAACTAGACACCGTGACCTGGTTCCAAGAGCTAGGGATGAACACAGGGTAGCAAACCGCAGGTCGAGGTCCTTAGGTCCGTATCAAGCCTCGGATGGTGCCAGTGATGTGTCAGGATTGGAAGCTGGTAGATTAGTCCCTTTTGATTTGGATGAGGAAGAACATCGATTGAGCAGGGTAGGTAGGGTCCAAGATTTTGCCAATCCCAGTCAAGGTCAAGGTCAGAGGGTTTTGCATGCGCAGAGTGCAACCTTTGTTGATGCTAGGTCAGTCGATGCCAGATCCATTCAAGTAGGAATTAGTCCAGAAGCAGCCCAACAGTTTGCCGATACAGTTCGTAGTGCCACAATTGCAGAAGCAGAGTCAAGACATCACCAAGTAGTTGATGAAGTTTGGAGGGTTTCCAGTCAAGCAGCTAGGAATGAAGCTATTGTTGAAGCTGAATCACGCCATCAACATGTAGTCCAAGACATGGCCAGAGCATCCAGGGAACATGTCCAAGATGTTAGTGCCCGTGTTGCTAGTGACGTAAGAAGCCAAACTTTAGCAGAGGCAGAAACCATTCACCAGAGGGTGTTGGCTGAAACCATCCAAAATGCAGAAAGGGTTCATGCCCAATCGGTTGAAGATGCTAGGAACCAAGTTCAACGCAGGGATGAGTCAGTTATCCTTGAATTGCAGAATCAGGTCGCGCATCTCACTCGTCTCAATCAGGAACTCGTGGGAAGATTGCAAGCGGCAGAGAGCAGCGGTTCATTCCGCGCCCTGCCCGCAAGCGGAGGTCAGGTTGGAGCAAATCCAGGGTTGGGACCAGCAGTGCAGAAACCACCAACACATCAGCATGACGAATCTTTTGATTTGTTCGGTGATGATGAGCCGGCCAATGCACAATCTGAATCCCATGGTTCTATCAATCAAGTTTTATCTGTTCTTCAGGAGGAAGTCCAGACCTTGAGAGAAGAGATGAGTAAGAGTAAGAAAGGAAAGAGTAAGAGGAAGTCTACTCCATCCAGCGTGTCTGCAAGTTCATCTTCATCATCGGATCATGACCCCGAGTATGAGAACGAAAGAAAATTAATGCGGTTGAAGGCTTACGAGAAAATCAAAGTCCCCAATCTACCGAAGTCAGCTGCAGAGATGAGGACATGGAAAAATACACTGATTTCTCAACTGGTTGCATGTTGCAGAAGCAGCGAGAAAGAGTTGCTAGCATGGCTCAGTGGCCCTCTAGTCGGTGAAGAAAAAGAATCAGATGTTTTTCCAGTTCTCAATCGGGTCTTAGGATCTAAGTTGCTAGAGGTTGCAAAAGGTGGACGGTTTGGGGTTGATTTCCAAGCTCTTCAGGAGAGAAGTGTGCGTTTGGGAAAGCAAGTGCAGGGTCATTTGTTGTTGGGTCGAATTTGCCGAAAGTTTCGTCTCGACAAAGAGCGTGGAATGAGTCTGAGTCAGCAACATCTACTGGCGTTGAAGCCCCAGGGTGTGGAGATCAAGGATTTGGAAGTCTTCAGGGATCGGGTTGAATTCGTGCTGTCAAGCCTCGAAACTTCGGAGTATCCTAGTGAAGCAATCCTTAGGACTTGGATTTACGAATGCTTAAAGAATGTCCCAAAGCTAGCGTTGAAAATTGATCGGTACAAAGAAGCAAATGCTGGTGACCCTATCAGATCATTTCAATGGTTATGGCAATCCATGATTGACTGCATTGATGAATCACAGCATGATCATAATACCGCATCAATCCTGAATGCTCTTCGCTCTAAAGTCGATGCAGCAGCCGCCTCCGCAAAGCAAGACAAAAAGAAAGATAAGAAAGTCAAGAAAGAGAAATCAGATTCGTCCAAAGAAAAGACAAGTGTTGATGTTGCAGCTGCCTCGTCTTCAAAGGCTCCGCCCAAGGCAAAAGCCAATCCTAAACCCAAGTCTTCATCCTCAAGCCAAGCTAGTGGTAAGAAGGGGGATAAGGATAAGAAAGACGTGGTTGCGGGTGAGAAAGGTACACCATGCCTGTTTTACCCAAGTGGCACTTGCAGGAGGGACCCATGCCCATTCGTGCATGACCCAGCCGCAAAGCTAAGTCAAAGGCCAAGCCTAAAGCTGGTTCAAGTGTCGCTGCCGCATTTGCAGTTGCTGCAGGAAACCTGCCATCAGCCGCCTCAGCAGTTGTCCCAAGGATCGTTAAAGCTGTTGTGACGTCTTTTGCATTGATGTGTAATCCCGGCATTCCAACTCCTGACAATCAGGTCCAGTCATTGCCAATGCAATCGTGTGAGGTGCCGTTTACCAGCTTCAATGCATCAACCGGAGAAGTGACTTGGTTGGGTGACACCGGTGCTGGCCGCAACATTGGGGGGGTTAGCCAAGTTGATCCTGAAATGATTGGACAATCCAATTTGCCAGTTACTTTCTCAACAGGTGGTGGGCGAAGAGATGGATCTAATTCTTGTAGAGTGGTTGGTGAACTTTCTGGGTCAAATGAGTGCTACTTGCTGGAAAACAGTCCATGGGCTTTGTCCATAGGTGATCAAGTTCGGCAAGGGAAAGCATTCGTTTGGTTGCCACGTGATAGCCATGATGTTTCTGAGGACGCTAAACTGCCAAAGCCATTCCTGGTGAAGCCCAGTAACCTTAAGGACTTAAAGGTAAGTTGCCCAGAAGCATCCCGCTTTTACGCCAGTGAAGTTCGAGAAAACGTCCCATTGTTCAAAGAAAGGGTGAGTATTCTGCATATGCCCGGGGAGGTTGATGAAAAGAATGATTTAGGTGATTCGTCAAAAGCCTTAGAGGAAGAGTCTGATGGGTATGAGCCAAGCTTAGCACCAGAAGGCGCAGCAGCGCCGCCAGACGAAGAGGCCGTGGAGCATTCGTCGAATCATTCCATTTTACATCTTCCCAAGAGAGCGGATTGCCCCATTTGTCAAGAAGCAAAGCAAGATGCTGTTCCTGCTAGGCGTGTTAAAGGTGATCGAGTATTAACCGATAGCAAACCTAGTAAAAGCTTTGTGGATAGGATCCATGCAGACCACATCATCGTTGCTAACATCGGTTGGATGGTTCTAAGAAAGGGCTGAAAGGAGAAACGAAATGCCTGGTTTTGCTTGATGATTTCACTAAAATCGTAATGGCGTATCCAGCAGCTACCAAAAGCACAGAAGAGTGTGTCAAGGCACTCAAGCATTTGGTGGTAAACGTCCACTGGTGGAATTTCATGCAGATAATACTCCTGAGTATGAGTCGACAGCAAGTCAACTAGGTCTCGTGTATGATGCAACCGTCCCGTACAGGAAAACCGCCATCATCAATCGAGCCATTCGCACTCTCGAGGATGTCACCCGGTGTTGTTTAGTACAAGTAGGCAACTTCAATGAATTATGGCCGTTGGCGATTCGTTATGCAGCTTCGGCCTCAACCATTAGCAATTGGGACAAACTCCATGACCATGAACTTCCAGGTCTTCACATTCCTTTTGGTGCGTTGATCAGTTACAAACCCAATGCCCCTAAATCCAAACTTGGTGCCAAAACATCAGCCGGTTTGTTCCTTGGTTGGAGAATTGAGGCAGGGATCCAATGGAAGCGCACATATTTGGTTTGTGATGTTCAGAATGTGAAATCATGGTTGGAAGGAAAATCTGGTCTTCAAGTTCTCACTTCAATGGTTGTTGTGCAAACGGGTGAAGATAAATTTCCCTTGCGTGAAGCCGTGCAAAAGAAGCTAGAATCCTTGGAGGATTTACCTGTACTGCGTTTGGAGGATGATGTTAGGGCATTGAAAGAAGAGGTGAGTCGCGAGGAAGTTGAACCAGAATTAGACGACATCTTTGCAGACGATCCTTTGGATGAACCAAAAGTCCATTCCAAACATGAAGCCATTACTTTCTCCAGACTAATGCAATATGGTTTCAGTCCAGGTTGTTCAGCTTGTGAAAAGGGAAAGGGAATCCATACATCCAGTTGCAGAGAAAGATTTGATGGGTTAATCAGGGGGGGGTAAGTTTACACTTCCCAAGGGCATTGCAAAAGGTGTTGATTCTTGGAAGCTTGAAGGTGACCTGCTTACTCGATTCCACCATGTGAAACGCAAGAAACTCTTTAATCCCTTATTGCCTGAAGATCTTCCAGTAAGTGCAAAAAGACTTGGAGCTAGAACCACCGAAGTTAAGTACTTTGAAAGCGGTGTCGAGGAAACAATCCATGATGAGCATTGGAGAGGTAACAACAAATCGCTCAAGGAATTTTGGACAGGTCAGACAATCTTTCAGCTGCATCCCGAGGCATCGGACGTTCCTGCCGGAGCAGTCGAAGCAAAGGATGGTGAGCTGCAGGCTTCGCCGCGCCCCATCCAGTGTGGTAAGAAAGGGAAAAGACTTGCCCAAAAGTTGTTGCCAGCATATGGTGTTATGATAGAGTTTTGTTGTAGCCCACAATCTAATCTTGGAAAGGTTTCAGAGTCCGTAGGAGTAAAGCACATCCGTTTGACAGAAAGCAACGGAAAGGTTTCAGAGCTTGAAGTGCAATCTCAGCTATTGGAAGTGTTGGATTCGGATGCCATGAACGGTGTTGACCTTTGGGGATCACTACCATGCAACCCTTGGTCTAGATGGCAACACGTGAATTGCAAGAAGTTAGGTCCAGCATTCCGTAGGAAGCTAATGTTGAAAAGGTTGGAAAGCAAGAAACTCTTGAAATTTTTCTTCCAGTTGTCCGCAATAATCCTCAGGCGTGGTGGCAGGGTTCACTTCGAATGGCCAACAGGGTGTTCCGGCTGGCAGATTCCAGAGCTTCAGGATTTCTTCAACTCAAACAACTTTCAGCTTGCGCATTTCAATGGTTGCATGGTTGGAGGCGAATCATTTAAGCCATGGACAGTAGCATCAACAGATGACTGTTTAGTTCGCAGCCTGAGAACCAAAACATGTGACCATAGCCATAAACATGTGCACTTGCACGGATCAAAGACATCAAAATCAGCATTCTATCCAATGCAAATGTGCGAAGGTATCATCTCATCATTATTTCCCGAGTTGTATCACAAGTTCGTTCCTTGTATGAGTTGCGAGTCAATCACTGAAAATCCAGTGCATGTCCCAAAAGAAGTTGAGCTTGAGGGAATTCCCATTAGCATTCATGAGTTGATTGATAGGAAGGTCTGGAAGGACAACCCTGCAGCACTCAGTGAAGCTAAGAAGGAAGCTCAAGGTTTGATAGATGCGGGGACATGGGATTACAAGAATGTTGTCCAGAGGCACGAGCTCGAACACAGATCCAGAGGTCAGGAACGAAGATTGCGATTGGGAAACTCATGACAATTATGAGTTGGAAGAATGCAGAATCAGAAAAAGACAAGAAACTAAAAGCTAGAATAGTTTTTCTTGGCAACAATGTGAGGGACGAGTTTGGTCTTGCAAGTGAATTTCAAGAAATCAAAATCATTCCCACTACAATTGCCGGGCTTAACATCAATTTAGCCTTCGGACTGAAGAGAGGAAACAAAACGACTCAATCAGATGCTACCAAAGCTTATATCCAAAGTGATCTTCAAACAGAACATGACACGTACATCGAACTGCCAGATGAGTTGATTCCAGATCACCTCAAATGGATGCGCAGACCATGCACAAAGCTGCGCAAATCGTTGTACGGGCACCCCGAGTCAGGGGGGCATTGGGGTTTGAAGTTCAAAAGCTTGATGACACAAATGAACGGTGTAGAGTCAGCATTATTTCCATCCAACTTTATCATCAAAAAGTGGGGCCTGTTGGTCACATTGTACGTTGATGACATTGTTGTGTCAGGTCCGAGTGAAAATCATCAATTTTTCTGGTCAGAGTTGGAGAAGCATCTTCAATTTGAACCTCCGCAGGAAGTCACAAAGGTTCTAGGAAGAACACACTTGATTCAGGAAGGGGAAGTGCAGCTAGACATGCATGACTTTGCAGAAGTCGCCTGCAAAGTGTACGAACAGGAATCCAAAGAGTTCAAAGGGTTCAAGAAGGCCCCAACCCCGTATCTTGATGAAAGTACACTTCCTATTGATGATTGGGATAGCCAAGGTAGTCTTGCGAGTTCAGCCGCCAGGCTAATCATGAAAGCCTATTGGTTAGCTAGACTTAGCCGTCCAGATTTGCTACATGCATTGAATGAACTCAGCAAACGTATTACCAAGTGGAGCAGAAATGACGACAGAAGGTTGTTCAGGGTGTTTTGCTATCTAAATGGAACAAAGCACTATAGGATGAGGTTGAAACTTGATCCAGATGCAAAATGGGGTCTGTGGTTATTCACGGATGCTGACCATGCCTCAAAGGTAGACCACGGATATTCCACATCAGGGTCATTGCTCGCCATCGCTGGTGGAGGTTCATTCTTTCCTATAACATTTCAGTCCAAACGTCAAACAGCTTGCAGCCGTTCGACAACTGAAGCGGAAGCCATTGCATTAGCTAGTGCATTGTTCAGTGATGCAATCCCTGCACAAGAGTTCATGTCGCAGTTGCTTGATTCACCAATTCCTTTGACATGCCATCAGGACAACACTGCCACTATACAGGTGATCAGAAACGGATACAGTGCTCGCCTAAGACATCTTGGTAAAACACACAAGATAAATGTTCAAGGGTTGTATGATGCTTTCAAAGAACCAGACATAAGCATTCAGCACTGTCCTACAGAACAACAGGCAGCAGACGTGTTCACTAAGAGCCTGGAAGTTCATAAATGGCAATCGGCCTTGGACATGATAGGAATTTTTGATCCAAGCAGAAGTTGAAATCGCAACAAATGTCAGAAATCGCAACAATTGCCAGAAATAGATCCGACCCTTGTTGAGCCGACCTTGATTAGTTCAGGTGTTGCTTGGCCATTTTGGCCGCTCCTTGGTAGGAACCAAAGCTGCAAGCAGAGGTGCCGTTCGTTGCCCTTGCAGTGTGCTGCTGGCTTTGCCGCGCCCTGTAAGTGTATCTTTCGTGCCTTTATAAATTAGGTTGGAATATGAGATTAGTTCTCACAAATGAGAAAGTACTGTCACCCTTGTGCGACTGGAGAAGCGGCCAATGCACCCCGAGATACATGGCCAAACTCTTTGTACACAAGCCTTGCGCGCATAGTCCATATCATAATTTGTTTTCGCAGCAACCTAGCCTGACTTGCCTTTCCACGATGACCTGATCGTCACTTTCGATGGCCACGATGAGTGCTTGATCCAAACTTTCGATGGAGTGCCAAGTTTGTGTGGACACCACCCTTTCGAAGGAGGGGGGGCACAGAAATAATCCAGCTCAAATGCAGGGTTATACATGTACAGTCATTCTCACGGTGGTCCCTACTACATTTTGGCTCAAGGAGAAAAGAAGCCCGCGGAGCTCCCGCTAGGTTGTTTCGTTTGGGTTTCTTTGCCACTTAGCCTTTGGACCTGTTTTCATTGTAGGAAACCATCAACTTTTGCTATCATGTCAAACCACATGTCAAACCACATGTCAAACCATTCATGATGTCTGAGAACCATCCATCAAGACATCTCAAGACTTTTGTTTGAGAACCATCCATCTAAGACTTTTGCCTCAACCACTTGGACCAGACTCTCATCACCTCGCTTTCTACCCATCTGGAGAAGCGGAACGCCGAAAAACACCGCCCCCGACGAGCCTGGCAGACGGAACGCACCGCAGGAGCTGCCGGATGGCCAGACCGTCCAGCTGAACTCCGAGCGGTTTCGATGTCCTGAGGCGACGCGAACGAAGGAAGGAAGACCCCCCCAAGACCGACCCCCAAGACCGACCGTCACCAGGGGGTGTGGAGCCAGCTGTTCGGACTGGCGTTCGCTGAAAAAGAACGATGGTGTTTTTGGACTCGAAACAGCGAAGGGAATAGACCAGACAACCCTAAACCCTAAACCTAAACCCTAAACCTAAACCCTAAACCAATCTACCAAGGTTTGGAGCTCCAGGTGTTGACCCAGATGATCCCGACCCTGAGTCTATTGACCTGTGGTGGTTTCGACCATGTTACGAAGACCAACCCAGTGGTTTTGGAGGTTCATGTGGGAGTAGACCTTCCCAAAAGGCGACCTGCGAAGCGACCTATGAGGTGTGTCCTTGCCCAATGACAAATGGATTACTGCAAGATCTCTCGTGTTTCCCATCAGTTGGGGGAAGATGTCGAGACCAATCTACAATCTAGACCTAGAGCCATCCAAATCTTGCTTGATATGGACCCTCGCGTTCTGTTTTTGGAAGTGGCATATGTTGAGACCAAGCGACATGACCAGAAGCAGTGCATGACTGGAGTTCTATGGTCACTTTGTTTCGCCGCTAGAAGGACCTGTAGGAATACTTACAGCAGCTCATCTTTATTTAGGGAGCATGTTTATCATATGAATCATATCTTATCGATCATCAGATCCTCAGTTAGAAAGGAAGACACCCAAAAAAACATACCCAAACCATAACAAAAACCTGAAAAAAAAAGAAAAACGATTCTGCTCGGCACCCAAACCTCGGACCTCGCTCTGCTCGGCACCGTTCAAGCTCCGCCGCGCCCGTCGCTCCGTCCAGTCCACCGGTCCGGTCGGAGGCGCTCTTTCGACCCACCCTCCTCGGACAGCCCGAGACCGAGGCGAGCGAAGCGAAGCGAAGCGCGCGGCGTGCGGTGGCGCGAGCGAGGCTTCACCGCGGCGCGAGCTTCGCGTGACGTGGTAGGTCGTTGGTGCAATGCGGCAAATGAAGCATCCATGTTCTGGAGGATTTTACCCATACTAGTATGATATGCTGTATTAGATGGTACTCTATATGATGGTATTTATTGGATGTTTACGATGGTTTAATGTAAACAATATGATAACAATGGTCCATATTCCACCATGGATGGTCGGGGTTAGCCTTTTGATCGCCTCTCTAGACCGGAGAGGGGATGGATGAAGGTCATCAAAGTGACCAACATGCCACCGTTCTGCACTGCATGCTAAAACTGCACTCCATGATCCCAAGATTAACAGATGAGATCTCAGACGTGCAGTTCAAACAAATTGCCACCGTTTTGGAACCCGTTGCTTCGATCCGTTTTTCGTCGACTCGTGTGTTGTTTGACCATCACCGGCCTCAGGGTATCCACCTGCAGGTCTTCAACGCCATCATGAGGCGCCAGACAGATGGGTCACATGGGTTGGGAAGATGAATGTCCCTGAATTAATCGGTCACATGGGTTGGGTTGGGAAGTGAATTCATGGGTTGGGTCTCGTGGGTTAAGAAGGAATGTCTCTGAATTTCAGCAAAGGAGCAGATGGAGATGAAAGGAGTATCCAAGGGAAGTTCAATCGGCCAACGATCGCGAAAAACAAGGTCAATGCCATATACAACTCGCAGATTCGTGCATGCAGTGATAGATCCGAAGCAAAGCAGCTTGCCACCTGATTCGAGAACACCTTTCTCCTGCTCGCCAGTTTGTTGATGAGTGTGAAGCTTTGGTGAGGCACAAGGAGCTTTGTGAACGAGGTCTTGAATCAACTCCAATTACACACCCAAAGGAAGCCTATTCCATGTTGGAAGCTTGCTGGATGGACTGCCGTTTTTCACATAGGATGATTCAAGATGAACATGGCTGAATTCTTTCAGCACAGGTGGTGGACAATAAGCTCTTTGAATCCGATTTAGCTTAGCTAGGTCATGAGAAAGAACTGATCAACAAGGGCCTCTCACCATTGAGTGACTGTAGACGTGTTGAGGCGGTTTGAGAAAGCAGCTCTCTAGCGAAGCTGCGTGGTACCTTAAAAAGTGAGTTTTGCAGGTGTTGGATGTGCTCATCAATTGAACCGCAACGAATCGTTGCGTCACGACTCGTTTTTTGTTCGACGTGACACCCGATGGCGGCACCATCGATCCATGGTGCCTCCATCCGGTGCGAGCTGCCAACTGGATGAAGGTCTCTTCCAAGGTCGGTCTCGCAGAGCGAATGCATCGTTCCCTTCCAATAAGAAGGAAAGGACGAATATATACGAATATATAAATATCTACTAGAGGAAAAATATGAAAAAGACATCCCTAAAAATGCATGTCCTTCTCCAACAAAACATGGTGCCACCAACCAACCGACCTGTTTCGTGTGTTTTTTTTTGCCATTGTTAACAACTATGAGATGTGAAAAATCTCATGATGACTCCTTGTTTTCCGGGCAGAAAAGGTGTGACCTCGATGTACGGCGGGATCTCTTTGTTAACATTGTGGTGTCCGGAAGCCTAGAGAGGTCGTTCTGCACATGGAATAGAACGTGTTAGAAAGGACGCGACGAACGTAGCTCCTGGCATTACTAGTAGCAAGAAGCTACTAGGAACAAAGGGCATCACTACAAGGAGCAAGGACGCTTCTAGAATGGAGCTCTCATCAAGTTTGAGAGGTGTTTCAAGCACTGAAAAGAAAGGGAGCATATGTCGCAGACACTCCAAGGCAGTCACTGGTGAAGTATGGTAAAGTTGTGTCAAACAAAGTGTCCCTAAATGTGGCTTTCAGCCTGCTTATTAGTACTAGAGGTTGGCCAAAGACACCCAGAACCGCTTTGGAAAGACCTCCCTGGCCCCTTGGACCAAGCCTCGCTGAGAAAAAAAGGGTCCAGACCCACTGCGGTCCCGATGCCGATTCGGCAGTGCGCTTGGACGACATGTCGTACCGTAAGGTCTGGCGGTTCCACATGCTTCACAGGCGAGTGAGAGACAGGCAGACTAGCATCATGCATCATCATACTATCATGCATCTAGTCAAAAGGGACAAGAATAGAAGCCGTGACCAGACAAGTCCTGTCGTGGCATTTGCTCTTGGCCAAGAATTTAGCTTCAAAGCAGTCTCTGCATGGCGATATCATGTTTGGATCCCAACGGCAATCTTATGAGATTCATGTAGATTGTTAGACTTCAGAGATTTAGCTTCTAGCTACTAGTAGTTTCATGTTCCTAGTAGCAATGCCCTTTGTTCCTAGCTTCTAGCTACTAGTAGCCATACCCTTGTTACTAGTAGCTTGTACCTCATGTCTGGGGGGGGGACTTTGAAAGGGCACCGTTGCACCGGTTTCGCGAACCTGGTCGTGCGGTGCATCGAGGCTTTGGTCGACGCTTGCAACAGGAGATCGCTGAGTTGACGCCCAGCACCGTGCGAATACGCAGGACGCTGAGCGAACACGTAGCGCTGACCCGTCGAAACGACTCAGTAGCGCGGTATGTAGTGGGTATGTAGTATTACAGTCTGTGCCGCACGGCTGGGTGTAGAAAAACAGTCCTGTGTCGGAGATGCTGAAGGGAATGAGAGTCTTTTTCGTGATGACAGGGATGTGTTAGGTGTTTAGCTAAAAACGATTGTAAAACTCTGTGATCTCTGTGCAAGGCAGCTCAAAACTCCACTGTGAAGATCCACATCTTCCTCGAACTTCTTCGCACCACTGCACCAGCACTCCGTCCTTTTCTCCTGCGATCCGGTGAAGGCCCCGAATCTCCGGGCGACTTGCTCCGAACCGAGGCGTCCTGGCACCGGACGACCGGCGCTTCTCCGTGTTCATCGGCGGCTCGATGTTGGCGGATCTCGACACCTTCACGGTGCCTCGGTGATGTTCACGGAGACCAAGAGAGTTTGAGTGACCGTCAAACGGACCCTACTGGGTACCTATGGGATTTGCAGCAGTGATTGAAACGATTTGAAATGATTTGAAGTGCTCCTTCCAAAGAAATTGAACAATTGCCGCACTAGTCGTGAAGGATGCGATATTGGAGCACATCGTTTAAGAATGCTGGCGAACACAAACACAAGCCAAGCCCATAAAATTCACATAAAACACGTTCATAAAGCGAGCCTGCTCAAAACATGGCAGCTTGATGCAGAGTTCGTCCTCAGGACATGTGCATTTCCAGAGAAGAGTATTTGGAGCATGGGCACCATTCTCAGACTTCAGAGAGCTCAAGCACCAGACTCCACTTGACACTGAGTGACCCTTTCTCCAACATAGAACTCATCATCAATTCCGGAAGATGCGTCGTTTTACAAAGAGGTTTTTGATATCTTCTTGGTAGTTTGTTGATTTGATCATGGGGTTGATGAGCATTCATTGGAACGAAAAGATTCGAATGTAGGCCAACCATAATCCACCAAAAGTGTTTCTGAAAACAAAAAAAAATATGTTAAAATAAACAAAAATATATAATAATATCATATATTATTGATAAATATAATAATAATGAAAAAAACAATAATTGATTTTAATAATTAATATTGAATGTAAAAATTAATAAAATATTTAGTAGTAAATATATTGATAATTTAATATTTATATATATTTAAATTAATTTATTATTTTTAAATATATGGCGTATGATTAATAAATTTAATATTTAAATATTTATTATAATTAATTAATTGTATGAATATATATTATGAAACTTGCATTTTTTTATATTATTTGTGTTATTAAAGTATATTACGACATTTATTAAATTTTGTAATTATTACGAAATATTTAATAATATATTGATTATAATATTTATTTGATATATATTAAATATTGCATTTGTTATGAAATTTATATTTCGAGATATAATAAATATTATATTTATTACGAAATTTACAAACGAATTATATATTTAAAAAGTATTATGCTTAATATATGTTACGAAATTTGAATTATTTAACGATTATTAATATTGGAAATTGAATTTCGAACTAAAATAATCCATTTTATTTTTGGTTATTATTACGTAAAATCGATTTTGGAATATTAAAATATAAGGTTTTCTTTACGCTTGTTACGAAAAGTGAGCATTAGATGTGAAAATGCGTATTACGACGAGAATATAGTCGTTAGAAGCACCCGCCGTAGACATCTAGATTCTGTTAGCTTACACAATCGAAATGCACATGGATGATGTCGAGAGCTATGAATATATTGTAAATAGTAATGAATTAGCCGCGCACGTCGCGTTGCCGTAAGAACCTGAGTGTGCCCAGATTATATGGGGAAAATATATATATTTAATTTAATTTATTATTTTATTTATATATATTAATATTAAATTAATACAATGAATATATTAATTGGTTTATATAATATATAATATAAAGCAATATTTATATTAATTAAATATATATTAAAATAATAATGATTTTGATAGATTATATTTTTTTTTGTTTATTATTTATATTTTATAGATATATATATCTAAATAAATAAAATTTTATTTTATATTTATATATTTATCGATGGGAATATATAATTATTTATTTAATATTTTTATATGTCTTTGATATTATATATTTTATATGTATGAAATTTGGTCGGAATGTCTATTTACAAAAAAAAATATATATATATAAGGATCCGATATATTTCTTATATTTATTTATTTTTTTTTTTTTATATAGTTAGATAATTGAAGAAATATTAATAAATAAATATGTATATTACATTATTAAAGGCATTATTAGGGTTATATTATATTCAATTATTTTCCGAATTTCAATTTATATTTAAAATATTATTAGAAATCAATTTTGAAAGGGTCTATATTGGCATCTAATAATTTAACGTAATCAATTATAATTATTATATTCAATGTTTTTCAAAACCCATATATTCCATATATAGTCATTTAATATACGACCTAATATCAAATATTTTTTGCATATTTGCCTTCTTAATCATCCGATAAATTCATCTATATCGTATGTCACAATTAGAATCTTATTTATTTATATATATATATATCTAAAGGAGATTGTAAAAAATAATTATTATATAATTTATATAATATATTTTAATTTTAATAATAAATAATAAATCTATATATATAAATACAGGATATTTTAATCGAACATAAAAACAATAATATTCGATTTTAAATATCGAAATTAAAATATTTTAGTCGAAATAAAAGATTGTATTATCGTTATTATTTATTAATTATAATAAAAATCGAATTTAATATTAAGATTCGTTATTATATATATTTTAGGTTTTCGTTATTTAAATATATTAGAATTTTATATTTTATTTTTTACATTTAAATTAGAACTAATAAAGATTAAATAAATTAATTTATAAAGATTATTTCTTAAATAATTAAATAGGTTATAAGAAATATAATATGCTTCAAATTAACAATAAATAATAATATTTATGCGTTAATAATAAATTGCAAATATAAATAGAAATTCTATGTTTAATTATAAAATATGAATTCGATATTTGGGATGCATGGGTATGGATAATTTTGAATATATTTTATATAGGGGAGGTTATTTTTCTATGCTATTATTTTTGTTTAGATCGACATTTTAAAGCGTGGTTTTGGTCAAATAATTTATTTGATATTGTCCTGCACCTCCAATTTTGCCGGATTGTCGAATATCAATTTTCCTCCCCAATTTGCCCGTAAACGATCAAAGCATGCGCACGCGCTGACTGCAATTTTTATTAATCAGAGGAGTTGTCTCTTCGAAAGCTCCTTAGCATGCTTGCTTAGTTCACGTTTTGTAATTGTTTTTTCCTTCAATCAATAATTTGAGTTTCAATGATACATACATCATCGAAATACCATGATTTGGAATTCCAACATGATTGATGTTCGATACCACAGCCCCTGTCCTTCTCAAAACACCTCCTATCCAATGAGGACATGTGGATCCAGTTCTCTCCAACAGTCAATAATCATCCAACTTGTGGGTTGTGTGGATCTTTCATCTAACATCATCTGTAAGCAGCGCTTCGCCCCGTTTCGAGGGGTCGTCCGTCAAAGTTGACGGAAAAAAGGGTGGGACACCAAAATCGGTCACGTACCACTGTGCCACAGGAGATGCCGCCAACTACGGCCGGTTGCAGGCTCGTAGAAAGGCACTCTCACCTGAGCTAATGGAGGCAAGAAACAGGAGGGTCTCCTTTAATTGGACAAGGTAACTAATCACTAGAGTTACATGTTAACCACCAAGGTAGAGTACTTGTATAGTGTCTGTTGCACCCTGGAAGGTGCCCACAGTGATCCACCTTCACTTGGTACTATATGGCACGGGTAGATCAAACCACGAGCACCACCGTGTCGCCCCAACCATGATTTCACTCCTAAGTGGCGTCTGTTAGGGCCGTCGGACCCGTTTTTCTCGACGAACAGGTGGTGACCTCCACTTCCACGGCTCGTTGGTCCGGCGGATGGAAAAAAACAGCACCTCTTCGCCTTCTCCCGAGAGACGTCGAGAGCCCGTTTTTGTCGAAGAAAGACGAAGGTACCGAACACCCGTCGTTGGGTGTCCTGATCGAGATGTCTTCGCCAGATGCTGAACTTGGAAGGACCAGGGAGTCCAGAGTTCAGAGCCACCCATGTGGTGAAACCAGGGTTCAGCCGCCGCACCGAAAAGGCTTCAGCATCTCCACGTTTGACACGGAACACCAACGAAAGAGAAGAAGCGATCAGAGCAAATGTCAGGGGTCACGACCAAATCACCAAACCGCGTGGGGAAGCCCCTGTGACCCCAACCGGCCGTGGTAGCCGAACAGCTGCAAAAGAAACGGATCGCCTAGTGGAGTGGTTGCGCATTGTACAGAGTGAATGGAATTTTCAAGGAAGAGTCCTTCTGGATCCTTCTCGTTGCTTCCCCACACTTCTAAGTGCCCGGCTTGTCAAAGCGCTCGAGCAAATAGCAGAACTCCCACAAAAGAGCCACCTTGGGCCCCGAGTGAGGGTGAATCATGGTGTCAATGTGGAGAGTAAGTACAGCATGCAAATCAATCCAACATAATTGCCCTTGTTTCTAGTAGCTTCTTGTTACTACTAGCTATTTGCTCCTGGTAGTAATGCGCTTTGTTACTAGTAGCGATGCCCTTGTTCCCAGTGGCTTCTTGTTCCAACATAATCTAACTCTAATCTAACTTTGCCACACAAAATGAGCCAATCTCTCAGAGCTCGCTGAGCTCACCCTCACCTGTTCGCTGTTCGGGGTTCATCTGTTTCGCTTCTGGCCCGGCGCTGGCCACACCTCGCGCGTCAGCCGTCTGGGATGCCCCGGCGACAGGAACGGACAGCTTCAGGGAGAAGCCGACGGTGGCCAAGTTGGCCACCTGCTGCGGCGCCGCTCCGTCGAAGCAACGCGGTCACCCAGCGGGGGGGAGCGTCGGATCGTTTGGTTTCTGGATTCGATGCATGCCGAGCAATTGAATAGGGACCCACAGTGCGACCGGGAAAGAGGAAAAGAGTCCACCTCACCTTTCATGGCGGAAAGAGTAGCCTCCAGCTTCCAAAAACAAATTAAAGGAACTCTCGTGCAACATGAGAAGAATTCGACCCGTGTGTGCACCCTTCATCTCCCTTTGGACTCTTTCTTTCGTCTCTTTCAGTCACGGTCACCACCGGGAGACACCGCTCTCCGAGGGGCAATGAGCATCGAGCAGGCGAAGGACATCAATGCCTTGGCGGATGGCGGCCTTGAGGTGCCTGGATGGTGGCTTTGAAGCCCAAAGTCGCCAGGGATAGATTGTCTAGATAGAACAGATGATCCCCACGTAGAACATGTCTTGGAAATTAGTGCTACGAGTACTGACTATCTAGCTAATTATTTGGGGACCATGAATTAAAACGCTGCAAGAATGAAAACATGCCGCAGTACAACGCTTGGTTGGGCTTTTGGGAGGTTGTGCAAGAAACAGAAGAATTCTTCCACAACAGCTGGCCTCTCTGGGAAAACAAGAAAATAAACAACTGCGTCACTGGCTTGGCCCAAAAGATCAGCCCACAGGAATCGGGAAGCTATGGTCGGCCAGCTCGGCCAGGACTCTCATCCTCAGGGCCAGGCCATTCCAGGATATTGTCCAAAGTGCAAGAGGATAATGCAAGGAATCAGGAATGACCACCTGAAGTCGACCCGAAGTCGACCCAGAAGTCGACCTGTCCATCGATCGGTCCGAAGGGAGGGGTTGAGGGGATTTGAGCAGAGGTCGATCTTTCTTTCGCGATCATGGTGGTCACCTGTGGTCACCGTCTGCCAACAACTACAGATCGGTGACCACCATGAAGTGGGAGGGTGCAACATGGTGCCTCTCGTTGTTTCGGGTGTTGTTTCATGCCCTTCCCAAAGCATCGGAAGCCACGGTCGACAACGCCTGGTGTACAGGGTCGCCTTCCCAAATATCCTTGCTACGTTCGTAGCTTCTTGTTGCTAGAAGTAGTGCACTTGCTACTAGTAGCGGTGCACTTGGCACTTGCTTGTGATTATACTATAATACACAGATGCTGTTCAAGCATCATGTCCACCATATCAAATCAAGCTGTGCATGCCTCTTTCTGGTTATTTTGAAGTGGCGTCCGATTACTGTGCCTCTGTGTAGATCCTATTCACTCACTCTGGCATGCCAACATCCACGCGAGACTTTGCTGATGCCGTACTAGGGGCACTTCGTTCACGTAGCACCATGTGATACCATGTGTATACTCTATGATATATAGATCCAGAATCTCATTCCGCAGAAAACAATTTCTATCTATCCAACAAGTGGGACAAGCATAGACAAACCCCAATTAGGTCTCAAAAAGATTCAAAATTATCTAACACATCCAGGCTGGGAATCCCAGACATGTGGCAAGCCATTTGCGGCAGAAAGTCATAGCCCCATGTGACCTGGCCGGTGTTCACTCGGACGAGGCGAGAGCAAACAACCGGCTCAGCCAGCGAGATGCGAAGCTGGAGAAAATCCGCCTTTTCTTCGAGCAACCAAAGAACGCCTTCCTTTTTCGGAGAGAAAAACACGTCAGAGAATTAAACAACAAAGCAATAAAGTATTAAATTAATCCCAGAGTCCGGGCTCAGGGGAATCCTTCGGCACACGCACAAACAAAAAAGATTCGGCCTTCGGCAAAGCAGGCTTCCCAAGGAATATCAGTAGGGTCACCGCAATCACGTAGATCGCCTAGGCTGAGCTGGTGGCGGCGATATCCTGCACCTCCTGTTCAGATCTGGACAGAAATGATCTCCCAACCAACAACATCAACCAAGTCACTTGACATGCAGGATCACAGCTAGCCTCTTCCCCAGAATATGACAGCTATCCTCTTCGTGTCCGAGTCGCTTGCCTGCGGTGGGTTCCTTCCGATTCACCCGATTCCCACGCATTGAGAGTTGGACCAGCTTATCCAGCAGCTCCAAATGCATCATCCTCTTGGCTGTCGGGATGAGTTAAGCATGTCTTTTCCTATGGGGGGGGGGAACTGTTGAAGGGAATCCCACCTTGGTGTGTTGCTGTATCGGGCGGAAATGGTTGGATTATGTTACCTGTTGGATTCATGTAAAGGAAGCTACAAGTATGCTACAGCAGTATCGGTCTGATTGTTTGATCCAACAGAACAGGGCATCAAACCATTGGGCTTGGAGAACTTCCTAGACTATATAAGCTTCTCAGGGCCCAATCACCCACCGACAATTGCGACCTTCGCCAAGAAGGAAAAGACATGCAGGTTTCACAAACACAAGCCAGATCACCTCTCTGATATTGCACCAAATAATCGAATGGTTCCGCCCTTTCAGTCGCTATCCATCAATCAATCCCCTTTCGGTTTGGGAAACCGCTGCAGGTCCTGTCTGCCGATGTCTGCGCCGTGCCCGCCGGTCGCGCTCGGGACGTTCTGCTGAGTGAGACGCTGCCAGAGAAGAGTGGACGAAAACGGAACGGCGACTCGAAAAAAGAAAAAGAAAACACTCAAGGCACTTCAAGGCTAGTGACACTGAGAAAGCCAAGATTGCAAAAGGTGAACAAGTGATGCGTGAACCACTGATGTGTGAGGGCCCAAAAGGGGTTGCTTTTAGACCCCACAAGCGAGCGAGTCATGGGCACTCCAAACCCCCCCTACCCTTCCAAAATCACCCCTTTGGAACTCCGGGAATGTGTTTCTTTGTTCATCAAATGGCCCATCAACTCGACCGACATGTTCAGAGCAGACATTCACGTCGACTAGCAAACCCGACATGCTCAGTTTCACAGAGGGTAGATTGCAGGGAGTTTCGCTGGGCACTCCTCTCTAAAGACGATTCAATGATGCTTAAAGCTGGAATCGCCATCAATCTGTTTCAACAATGCCTGTCTGTGACCTTAGCTCCAGCTTGATGGTGCTCTATTTTGTTACGGGCCATCAGTCAGCAAAAAAAAGCCCAAACCACATTTCTCCTGAATGAATCTTCCGGAGGCAACATGGCTGCCTATTCCGGGTTTGGGCTCACTAGAAAGGACCACTGGGTTGAATCTCCTTGCAACATCCCATGAGCCATCAGGGCCGCTGTTACACCCGAGGGAAAAAGGGTGGCCAATTCCCCCAAGCGGCCAACACGAGTCCTTCAGTCCTACAGTTGAAACGAAGCCCCATGAAGCAAGCTTGAATGGAGGGTGTCTCTCTTCATTCATCCACATGAATCCACATTGCCCAAAGGCCACCAACCCTTGTCCCGACCTTTTTCTCAGCGAGTGAAATCGCGCGGAGGAAGAGTGAGTTCATAGCGGGGTGCTGCATGCTGAGCCGTCAAGGACCCTGTCTCTGCAGGCGGCTGAGCCGGTGGAAATCCCTGGTCATCAAAAGCATGGGTACACTGACAACAACATCATCAATATTTGTCCAGTGCTGTATAACAAGAAACCATCCTGCTTTGACCCTTCTAGGGGTCCATTGCAGTACTTCAAAGAAGCTTGCATACAGAGTCCTGGAAAAGGGTGAGGTGTTCGCAGTTGAGTGCAATGAAGCAATGTTAAGTGCAGAGTGTATGAGGGACTCTCTGAAACTGCCACATGACAAGGGAATCGGCTTTTGAAACTGGTTGGGTCATAGCATCTTCCCAAGAGGTTAGTTGTCCATGTCTGATGGAACAATACATCAGGCGTCTATTGTGCTTGCCATTGTTTGACCAATTTTAGATATCTTAGTCAGCATGGGCGATGAGCAATTCTCAAACCAGAAGTTATTTCCTCAAAGCACCTGGGGTGACAAATAGATGAAGAAGCCCACTCGTTGTGACCCTTTGGGCCCACTCATCTATCCATCGTGAGCGTGTTTGACGCGTCAGAACACCTACCCAACCTTGCTACGTTCGTAGCTTCTTGCTACTAGCAGTAATGGCCTCCAACATAGTAGCTTCTTGCTACTACTCAGTGTCTTCCACCTCACCCTCTTCACCTCTGGCGTCCGTCCCTCACTTCATCCGCCCTTGGAACCTGGCGACCGTCCAGGCGACGTGTCGCGGGGCGACAGAAGGGGAGATGTGGAAGGAGAACGGGGAAACAAACACATTTTTTAGATGATGCCCTAGGACGTCCACGTTTAAAAAAAGGTCTGGAGGTTGCACGAAAAAGAAAAGTGTTCTTTATTTTGCTGGTGGCAAGACTAATAGTCTTTAAAAAAACGAATTCTTCATGAATATTCAAGACTCGAGACATGTTGAAAAGGGGATTCAATATGACTCACTGAGCCCTTTCTCGTCCTTTCTCCATGTTGGGGGACGACGACAACGGATCGACGACCGCCTCTGCTTGACCTCGTCCGGCGAGAGGGGAGTGCCCTCCTCCCAGGTGTTCTCGTCCTCCGTGGCGGGCGGTCTGCGGGAAGGTCTGCGGGAAACCCTCCCAGAAAAGATCCACGTCCCTTTTTTTCTTCGGGGTGTGCGGGGTGCTCGGGGTGTTCGGGGGTGTTCGTTGGAGAGATCGAACCATGTTTGTATTCCACACATTCCTTTTGTGGTTGAAACTCGTGCGAAGCACTGTCTCCTTTTCAGATCTTTTTGGGGTCGAACCAAGGTATTCTTCGACCTAAACCCACCGCCATAGCGCTTCGGTCGGAGCTTCCCACCCCGGTCGTGTCGGAGCTTCCCGTCGAGTCGTCCGGGTCAGGTCGTTCGGGGGCGTTTTTGAATCGAGAAGCTGCTTGGGTGTTGGATTGATCCTGGCCGGAACATGAGCCAAACATGAGCCACTGGAACGTCCTGAAAAAGTTCAGAAGGTGCAACATGAGCCTTGTCTTTCAACTTCAAGGGCCATGGATTCAGGACTGACACCTTCCGAGATTCCCGGATTCGGATTCTCGGATCAATCCGAAGGTGACGAGACTGACCTGAAAAAGGTATGTTCGACCTGCGTGGGCGAACCAAAAACGGATGGAATGCTCTGCCTGTCTGCCTGTTGGTCTGCTGATCTCGGTTCTCTTCGGGAAAAAAAAAAGATCGCAGGGCGGAGGTCCTGGATGTAGAGGCACTCTTTCGCATACATGATCTGCTGCTCATGTCTCTTACCTCGTTTCATGTCGGCATTCCGTCACTTACCAAGTCATTTCTGAAGCTAGTCTGCAGTCCGACCATCAGATGGTCTGAACTAGACCACAACTATAGTCCTTTTCTCTGTGATTAGCTCAGTCAAGTCTCTTGCCAATAAGACTTACAGTAACTTCACCTCTTCATGCATCACCCACTACTAATGTCACATCTGACAGGAAGACCTCGCCTGCGGGTGTCATGGTATCAGGATTTCGACATCTATCGACTCAATCAGATGTGCATCTTGGTCCCTCACTGGAATTGGGATCGACTGGTACGGCCTCAACTGACCTCGGTCAGCTCTTAAAAGAAAACACGCTGAGCACATACAGTTTCCATGTGGCATCCTGAAGTAGGTAGATATGGAAGATGTCAACGTTCAAACACAACACACATCATGCATGATACAATGTTGCGTCTTCAAGATATCTACATGCTCGGCGCGTTTCGTGTTGCAGTCGTTCGCCACAGATCATTTCAACTCGAGTGTGAGACTCCAAATCGATGCCAGCGGAGGAGAAGGCATTCAGCACCTGGAAACGCGGCCACGCTGCGGAATGCGTCTTCCGCTGCCAAAAGCAGCCCCACACCATGGCAGATGTTCAGCCCTCACTCTTCCATGGTCGATACCTTCCGACTCGGGTGGAATGTGCTGTGTTGGTCACAGCGGCCGTGCTGAGGATTCGAGGACTCGAAGAAAGGCCGTGTTGGTTCGATTCGATTGAGCCTCTATGACTAACTGGTGCGACTCGCAGGGAATGAGGGTGGCTGGATCCAATAGAATCTCTATTGGGGGCGAAACTTCCCTTATTCCCTACTAAGCACCAGTCAGATGATTGGTATGATCTCTTATTCCATGCGGCCGTGCTGGTCGTTTCGTTCGGCATGAAAGACGTGGGTCTCCCCACTCCTCGAAAGAGAGCGACTGTATTTAAGAAACAGTACCGTATGGGCCCCTGGTCAAAGAAGTTCAAACATCTCTGAATAGATAGAAGATGGAACCATCAACAACAAGATAAAATTGAAATACCCCTGGTCAAGAGCAAAACAAAAGACCGGCAGAAACGGATGCATGAATCCATGATCGTGGAACATCAGGGTATAGGTATAATGTTTTTTCCCGAATGCGTAGCGAAGGGTTCCCGTTTATAGCTGGGGGTCTGGGGCTTGGAGCTGTGTTTGCATGGCTTGCGTCGTGTCGTCGTCTCTCGTCGTCTGTCGTCGTCTCTCGTCGTTTGTCGTCGAAGTTGCGTCTCAAATTGGCTGCCATTGAGGGAAGCTTTTGCAAGTGACTTTGCATGGATGCGTCATAAGTTAGTTTGCGCCGCTATTCCATTGTGATTTGCATGAGAATGACATGTCGCGTAAGAAACGTGATGCATTTCGCTGCACAGGCGCAGCGTTTTGTGAGATCCGCAGTTTGCCGCGCAGTTCCATTGGGATTAGCGTTTGGAGAGTCGTGTTTTTGGGGTGTTGGATGTGGCCGTGCCATTGGGATTTGCGTTTCAGGGTGTGGCATCGAAGCTCGGTTTTCGTGACAAGTCTCAGCTGAAATGGCGATCTTGGTGGATGGGAGTGTGCTCAGAACGGGTCGAAATCATTCCAAACGTGTGGTGTGGTGCAAATTTTGTTGAAGCTCACATGAGATGATATTGTCACTTTTCGTGGCAGGCGCAGGACTTTGTGCGGGCTTTGAGGTGTGGAAGTGCGATTCTCGTGGCAGGCGCAGGGAATCGTGAGGTTGCGAGGTGTGACGGAGGTGACATTTCGTGGCAGGCGCAGTACTTTGTGCGCGTTTGACGTGTGGACGCGGAAAGATTCGTGGCAGGCGCAGGGAATCGTGCGGTTGTGAGTTGTGGTAGAGGTGAATGTCGCTGTCACATTGGGATTGGCGTGTGAGCGGATGTTGTTTGGAGGGGCTGGAATCGCGAAACTGCTTGGCAGGGCTGCGTGATGTGTGTGCTCCGATGGATGTTTCCGCTTGACTTTTGGAGGAAGTCTCGTACGAAGAGTGTGCCCTACAAGAGTGTCCCACAGGAGTGTCCTACAAGAGTGTCCCACAAGAGTGCCCTACAAGAGTATCCCACAAGAGTCTCCTACAAGAGTGTCCCACAAGAGTGCCCCACAAGAGTGTCCCACAAGAGTGTCCTACAAGAGTGTCCCACAAGAGTGTCCCGTGTGAGTGTCCCACAAGAGTGTCCCACAAGAGTGTCCCGCAACAGTGTCCCACAAGAGTGTCTCACAAGAGTGTCCCTTAAGAGTGTCCCACAAGAGTGTCCTATAAGAGTGTCCCACAAGAGTGTCCTACAAGAGTGTCCCACAAGAGTTTCCTACAAGAGTGTCCCACAAGAGTGGGCCACAAGAGTGTCCCACAAAAGTGTCCTACAGGAGTGTCCCACAAGAGTGTCCTACAAGAGTGTCCCACAAGAGTTTCCTACAAGAGTGTCCTACAGGAGTGTCCCACAAGAGTGTCCTACAAGAGTGTCCCACTCTTCTGAGTGTCCCACAAGAGTGTCCCACAAGAGTGTCCCACAACAGTGTCCTACAACAGTGTGCTACAAGAGTGTCCCGTACGAGTGTCCCACAAGAGTGTCCTACTAGAGTGTCCCACAAGAGTGCCAAAGCCGGTGCGTGTCACTCTTTAGGCGTTTCGAAAGCGCCGTTTGCCCGCCCCCAAAAGCCTCTCGGCAGCCGGCAGGGCCGTTTGCCAGGCTCCACAGCCCTTCCCGGGACCTTTGGCTGCACATGCCTGCACCGCAGCCTTGCCTGCCAACGCCGGTGCATGTCACTCTTTAGGCGTTTCGAAAGCGCCCCCAAAAGCCTCAGGCTCCACAGCCCTTCCCGGGACCTTTGGCTGCACATGCCTGCACCGCAGCCTTGCCTGCCAAAGCCGGTGCACCGCAGCCTTGCCTGCCAAAGCCGGTGCATGTCACTCTTTAGGCGTTTGCCAAAGCCGGTGCATGTCACTCTTTAGGCGTCTCGAAAGCGCCCCAAAAGCCTCTCGGCAGCCGGCAGGGCCGTTTGCCAGGCTCCACAGCCCTTCCCGGGACCTTTGGCTGCACATGCCTGCACCGCAGCCTTGCCTGCCAAAGCCGGTGCATGTCACTCTTTAGGCGTTTCGAAAGCGCCGTTTGCCCGCCCCCAAAAGCCTCTCTGCAGCCGGCAGGGCCGTTGGCCAGGCTCCACAGCCCTTCCCGGGACCTTTGGCTGCACATAAGAGTGTCCCACAAGAGTGTCGCGAGAGTGTCCTGCAACAGTGTCCCACAAGAGTGTCTCACAAGAGTGTCCCTTAAGAGTGTCCCACAAGAGTGTCCCACAAGAGTGTCCCACAAGAGTGTTCTACAAGAGTGTCCCACAAGAGTGTCCCACAAGAGTGCCCCACAAGAGTGTCCCACAAGAGTGTCCCATAAGAGTGACCGCACGAGTGTCCTACAAGAGTGTGCTACAAGAGTGCCCCGCAAGAGTGTCCCACAAGTGTCCTACACGAGTGTCCCACAAGAGTGTCCTACAAGAGTGTCCCGTAGGAGTGTCCCACAAGAGTGTCCCATAAGAGTGTCTCGTAGAGTGTCCCACAAGAGTTTCCTACTAGAGTGTCCCACAACAGTGTCCCACAAGGTTGTCCCACAAGAGTGTCCCGGAAGAGTGTCCCACCAGAGTGTCCTACAAGAGTGACCCACAAGAGTGTCCCACAAGAGCGTCCTACAAGAGTGTCATTTGGACATATGTAGCTTTTGGCACGTGTTTGCATTCGGGTTCGTGGGCTGCATCTTGTTTCCTCACCAACGTGCCACTCGATGGTCATTCAAGAATTGCACCAAACCAACCCCCGGTATCCCCCGAAATCTGTCCCAAGCCCGGCGCCCACAAAAGGAACAACATGAAGAAAGAAAGGCGCCTTGCGCTCGTCCTTGGACTCATAAAAGACATGGATGAGACTCGATGCCTTGGACGTCAGAGTCGAACGACCGACCCTTGCCAGGCGAGCGGCCCGCGTGAAGCGAAGCGAAGTCCGCGCGCGAAAAAGCCTAGTAGCTAGTAGCGTCCTTAAAGCAAATTTGAATAGAAAGCCCTTGGGCTCGGAATCTCCCTATTAAAAATACAAACTACATCAAACTATAAGCCTACTCTGCAGCTTGCCTGTTCCTTTTGGAAGAGGAAAAGATCATTGTACCGTGTCAACAAAATCCGCTGGTTTGCGGCTCCCTGCTTTCCATCGCTCTCTTTGGTGAGATGTGAAGTGAACGTAGTTTAGCCTTGGTTCATCTCTAGATATCTCTAAATCTTATACAGTCTTATATTAGCTTCCACCAAACACCTACCCTAAGTCACCCGTCAACTCTACCCAGTTGCATCCCCGTTCATTCTGTTCTCGCATACGCAAATGTTTGTTCAACTGCTCTGCTGGCTGGAGTCAACGAACACTCACCCTATCGGTGTCCATCCGGTCCATCTGCCCAGCCTTTTGGGATAAAGTAAAAACACCCTCGTCTAAGACCTCCCATGTAAAAAGGCCTCCCCCTTTTTGAGCCGCCTGAACACCCCCACCCGTGAAAACGGGCGCACGGCGCGTTCGCGAACGAAACAACATGCGCGGGCGGCGGCGCCTGGTCCTGCAGGCCGCCATTGCGGGAGTACTCGGAGAGGTTCCAGCATGCCACTGAGAAGTGGATCTGCCAGGCACCGCTCCGCGGTCACGGAAGGGGAGTACGTTGGAGCGCAGGGGAGCACATGCGCAGGGATGGGGTAGGCCTTAGTGTTGGGGGTCAAAGACGGTGGTAATCGGGCCACGTACTAGCCCAGCTGCTCTAGCACTATGACTACTGTGGGCCTCATTGCTTGGTTCCCAGCCTCACTGAACCACGTACCCCCAAAGTCATATTTCTCTCCCAAAACCTAACATGGAAGTGGATCACCCCCCCGGTTTTCTGGAGGAACAACGGGTCTTACAACGGGCCATTTTCCACGTCCACGTTCGTGTAGTTTCACATCCAGTTCCTCCACAATTCCCTCGATCATCCGTCTCCCTTTGGCCGAGCGAGGCCGATGGCGAAGACTCTTCGTCTCGGTCTCCGTCTGCACGGAGATCGCGGAGATCGCAGGCTTGCACGTCGTTCACTGAAATAGCAACACGATCACCTTCCCAGAAGAGAGGGAGAGAGAGAGAGAGAGAGATCGCAGGATACAAATCTTCTGCTGGCAGCTTGATACTTGTGATCCAATTCTTGGCTGAACGCCCTCTATGTTCCTCCAGGTCAAATAGAACTGCTAACCTGGAGACTCGTTGCGAAAGTGCATTCTTTCTTTCATCACGTGTTTGCTCGTTTCCCCATGATACAACCCAAAGAAGTGGGCATCCTTGGGATCTTTTGTCCAGTTGCATGTCCTCCAAAGCTGCCCCAAGCCCCAATGCATGACGTCTCAGACCAAAAGATCTATTTTAGCGCATCAGAATGTGACCGGACAGGAGGCCATCAGGAAAAATCACACTGAGGATGTTCTCAAAGATGTCGAACCATCACTCCAATGCACAGCTCTTGGGGTGGCTGAAACGTCTCTCTCCGGGGTAGGCGTTTCAGCCATGGAAAATGCTCAAAAGTGACACTGCTACAGCACCGTGCAGTCGCAGTGTGGATCTGCATATTCGTCTTCATGGGCTGGCTTTGGCTGGGAGCTTGCGCTTGGCTTGCTGGCACACGTCGGCCTCGTAGGTTTTGTGACGGCACGGCTCCGAGTCGCCGAAAAAATGTCACTGCCATCGACCATCGTTGCATGGTAGGTCACATGTTCATACATTTTCCGTTCTTCCAGACTTGGAGGCTCCAGCAAGCTCCAGGTCGCATGTTTGAGAAGTTGCACTTCAACTTCTGGCGAAGGATTGCCCAATGCTGCAGCCACCGCGAAAAAGGAACTGGCACCTTGAAGTTTCGCAGAGAGATGTTCCAACATTGGAAGATCAGTCCCAAAACTGCTGCTGAAAACCAATGCATTGACCAATAACGAAAGCAGACGTCCACTTCCCCTTGACCAATTGTTATACCAACTGGTTCGCTGTTCTGCATCAGCTGAAAGGACCGTTGTATTAATCAAAAAATATCCCGCAAACTCGACCTCCCTGCTAAAAAGCACTGTTCGTCGTCTTTGGTGAGGCAAGGCCTCCCAGTTTCGACCCGGTCGGTGAAAAGGCCCTGGTCGGTGGTCTCCATCGTGGCCCAAAATGGCCATGGCTGCTCCAAGTCTGATGACATATACTTGGGAGACCAAAAGAACCAAGCAGATCTGATTTATCCAGCCCAGTGGTTTCCAGTGGGTAATGGGGAAGAACCAGAGCCTCGTGCAGCTGCGCTGATCAAAACATCTACTTGTCGAAGTGATGCAAAAAGAGCATAAAAGAACTATTTCTGGACAGTGTCCATACTTCAATGCATTCTCCAAAGGTCCTTATATCCTTCTGGCAAAATGTTCGCCCAACACGAGTGTTTCATGTGGTTGTGTTTGGGGTGTGGACTGGCAACGCCCAATGAGCAAACTTGAGTAACCAAGTCATTGGAATATTGGAATTATCTATTTGTGAGGTTGGTTCATCCCAAAAAATGTGGTCCCAACAGTTGTGGCATTGATTCTGCTGCCTCAAACCCTTTTCTAGCCGGTCCATCCTTGATTCTCCGTCCTTGCCTTGCCCTGCTTCTGGCATACTCGCTTGATATCTAAGTCCTCACAATGTCGACAATGAAGGAGATAGGAGGGTTGCGAGAGCAAACGCTGGCAGACGGACATTCCAAGTCAATTCAATTGTTGGCACTTCCTTTCTCCACATGGAACATGCACAGAGTATTGCAGAATGATTTAACATCTGGAACCAGTACCCCATGTGTTTCAGGACCTGTGGTGAACTCGTAAATGGTAAACTAGATTTCTGGTGTGCAACCTCCGGCTCCACCCCGAGTTCCTCCATGTATTTCAGAGTAGTTACATAATTGAAACTAGCAACAAGGCTCCCACCTTATTCAGCTTCAGCTTGCAGAAGGAAGCCCCCACATTCCACATGCCCCACCCGGTCACTCCTTTGCAATCACCTCGCGCCTCGCCCGGTCATTCCGGTGAATCCGGTGCCGGATGGTTGGGGACCCCACTGAAGGGGGGATGGGCAAGGAGGCTAAAGTGTCATGGTGGTTGAAAAGAGTTGCGATGGAATGGAGGGCTGGTTGAGGATGGTTTTGAGGATGGTTTAAGGGCTCGACATGGAGGCGCCGCTTGCAGGATGCCGGGAGTGTCAAAGCAGCGTCAAGCCATGATCTCATCAACGGAAAAAGAAACAACAATCTGCTTTCCACGTCGAACACCGAGCGAGTTTGAAAAGTCCAAAACCTCGGGCGTCGGTCGCCCATCGGTTAGGTGATGAGCGATGTCCCATCGCTCGACCCCATCGGTCGACCCCATCAGTCGCCCCAAGAATCGCCTCTACTGCCATTGGAGTACCCCGAGCACGCGAGCACACGCGTGAGACGGGGCACCACCGCCCTTAAGGCACCAAGCCCGGAAAACCGCCAAGCCCGGAAAAACCAGCGCAAACGCCCCGCAGCCGTGGCGTCCACCGCCCCGACGCCGCAAGGACGCGTTGGGCCTCTTTAAGACCTTCTTGGACAGTGCCTTCAATTGGCGCATGTACCTGGACTCAGCGGTGGCAGCATCCTTTTGGCATCGTGGAACTACTTGATGTCAACTTGATGTCCTGATTTCCTTTGATTTCTAAGACTCAATGGAAGATCCCAAACGCACTGAAAACACACTGATGTCAGCCACCTAAAGATCTCAAACGCGCACTCGATGTCATCTGGATGCTCACCCCAATCTACAACTTGTGCCTGAAGGGCCGGGCGAGTCACAGGCCACGATGGTTTTATATTGGAATATCATGAAATAGAAAGAGAATCATTGAAAAGAACTATCAAATAGACTCAAATAGTTGGTCTTGGAATGACATAGAAAGTCCCCCCACGTCATTTGCCATGTGGTTTTGGTCAATTCTTCAGGCGCGCTAGAAAGCACCTTGCTTGCTTCAGTGCTGAGCAGTCGCCAGTGGAGAGTCGAGTTTATTGAAGGACACTAGACACTTGCTGAACAGTGACAATCATTTTGGACTATGAATTATTGCCTATAATTATAGGGGGGAAGCCCGAGCCGAAGATGGAGCCTAAGAAGCCCTGAAGATAGCGGCGCTTGTTGGACCTTCACCTCTGAGGCCAGCACCACGCAGGGTCCTGGGTCTGGGCGCCACATGGCTCACGAGAAGGGCTCTCTTGACCACGGCAGAGATGTGGCACCACCGAGACGGCTGCGGGAGAAAGACATCACCTGGTTCCCATGGCTTCAGGTCTTTGGTTCCCGAAATGAACACCAAATCCCGGAACACCAGGTCAGGCCCACATCGCTTCAGTCTGGGATGATGATCATCTCGTCATATCCGTCAGGACGTCATACGGGGGACACCAGGTCGACCGGTACCGCGGTCGACACCGTCGACACCAGGTACTGGGACCGTCCGCCGTGCGGGGTCCGATGAGTTCGGAAGCTCCGTACCCGTGGGGAGGGGAACACGTGGCCGGTCGACTTCGGCGTTCGGTGCGTTGCGGCGGTCTGCGGCGGTCTTCCCACGTGGAAAGCGGTGAACTTAGCGTTCTTCAGGCCAGAGAAGAGCCTAGCACGCAGTGGATGCATCGCGAGGCATCGCGCACCTTTTTCGGCCGCCACCTTCTTCGGCCTTGGAGCCGCAGCAGTCGCAGCAGTTGCAGGGATCTGGGAGGGCCTGGCACGGTCAAGAACTGTGAGTTTGTAATGACAGAATGTGCCACTTGAAGGAACTGATGTGGGACAGTATAGTCTATGTAGATATTTGTCTGAGGATACGAATTGATGCGGTGAGGTCGCTAAACATCGTCAAGCTGAATCTCATCATGGATTGACTTGTGAATTGAGATACGGCCAGTTCACCCTGCTAGAAATTCCAAAAAGTATTGGATGGTTCAGTTCTCCCCTCGCTAGCTCTCGCCAAAAAAGGAGCAGTGCGGTCGTAGCTCCATTGGCTCATGAATGCTCCAAAAGAGAAAAAGACATCTGATAGAAGACAAGACACACGCGGGGATGTTCGTCCCAGTAAGCTCTGGGGATGTGCCCCAGTGCCCTCGCTTTCCTCGGAAACAGGTCCAGACGCTCAACGGCTTCATCGCCAACCCCGTCCCAGTTGTCTCGGTGTCCTGCTCTCACCGGCGGAGAGGCTCCTGACGATGGGTTTCCACTGGAAACCGATCGGTGTCACCCAGGCCAAAGTGCTTGGACAAGCAGATGTTCATATATATATTGTTTTTTTTAATTTTTTAGAATTTAATTTTTTTATGGCTCTCCTGACAACCAGATGCTTTATCCCCCACAACTCACAACCCAATTTAGTTCTCTGTTGAAAGTAGGCGTGTCTCCCAAAGAATCCCAAAGAAACAGCTTTGATTAACCTCAAACATGTCATGTCCGCTTTAGAACCCAATCCACCCGCGGGTTTTTGGGAAGTCCAAGACCCTGTACCTTCCCTCACCTCCTCTTCGGAACTCTGGAGGAGCACATCGACCATCACCGATGACCACTCCCATTGCACTCGGGACGGACTGCCGCCCCAGACAGACCCCAGGTCAACCACCCCAAGGTTGGCAAATATGTACATGGAGCGTCTGGGAATGACCAAGGACCCTTCAAAACGAAACAGCCCAAAGCTTTCACACTACACGGTCAGCTTTTTGCTGGTCAGCACCCTGCTGGTCACCAAACACTTGAGTAATTAATCCCAACTCCTGCGTTCATAAGTATGCAGTATACTCATCACCGAAATAGATAGATCGTCGATCCTTCTATTGCAGGAAGAGCATCTGCAAATCCATTGAAAGCAAAAGGAAAATTGCTCATCCATTCAATAATTCCTAGACACTCACCGGCTGAGAGACTGACACCGCTTGCTGGCGATGGTGGTTGCCCCGAAGAAGAGTTTATTCGGCCAGGTTTTTGGCCTACACTCTGAACACATCACATGGAAGTGGATTCCTTTTCAAGACTATATATACTTTGGTTGGAGGCCATCGCTATTAGGTTGGAGGCCATCGCTAGTCGGATGGAGGAGGCCATCTCTTCTAGGTTGGAGGCCATCGCTATTTATTTACTGTCCTTTTCAAACAGCCAAGTTTTCTACTTCCATGTGATGTGTTCGTCAGAGTGTATCAGCCTTTGCCGCTGGTCGGGCCCCCAACCCACCCAGCTCGCCCGCATGGTGAAGCCAGCGGCAGAACCGGTACTGGCGCCAGCGCCGCCTCACGGAAGGAGCAACTTTGAAGGTTGGGAATGGGTCGCGCCAACAACAAAGGGCAAGAGGTGCCTCTCAATATCTATCAATCTAATCTTGGAACCCCAGAAATTGTTTGATGTTTTAGTTTTAAGACAGTCTGGGTCTGTCCAGGTGTCTTGATGGTTGTGAGAATATCAGCAGCAAAATTGGGAGGGCCATCCGAGCCATCTACCTTCACATCAATGCAGTAGCATCAGAATATGTTGCTTGGGTGGATCAAAAAATGAAGAAAACTGACTAGTGCTTGGAAGGAAAGCTGCTCAGCACTCTCCAACACACCGCTAGCTTTGTTGCAAATCTCCCGTTTCCAAGACCCAAAAATGCCAAGTGCTTCTCTCTCGTGTCTTCTCACTGCCAATCTCTGGAGAGAGGTGGTAGAGGTCAAAGGTGCTCCCATTCAACAGGTTGTTTGGGGTGGTTAAAGCCTTCCACGGATGCAATGACGCCATGGCGGCCCCCGGCAGTGATAGGGATGGCGGATGCCCGCGGACGCCCGCGTTGCGGGCCTGCATTTCTGCTGGCAGGATTTGCACCTGATCATCTCCAGACAAGATGCCGTGGTGGTTCGCACCAATGAGGACTACCAGGCAGTTGAACCTTTCTTACTTCACAGGTCTGCCTTGAATTGGTAGCTAGGAGCCTAATGGGATGTGTCAGGGAGCAAGAGCCACAACTTACAGTATTTTATTGGCATTTCGATCATGTCCTGGACTGTTAACATCACTCCCGTTGAGAATCTGGCAGTCATGGCACCCTGGCCAGAAAGGACGGCACCAGACTGGCTTGTCACGTGATCCCATGGCCTTGGGTGTTCCCCAAACGCATCTGCCTCGGTTTCCCCCGCCTGCGGCTACACCACCGCCACCACCCAGCCCTCCTGGCAGGAAGGAACCGAAGAGGATGACCGGTGCTGCATGGGCGGCCACGGGGGGGGTCCAAGACTACAGCTCATGCTATCTCATGCATATCGGCATATCAAGAAGACAGAAATGGAGATCGTGTGCTCAGATGTTCTCATGCTCTACATGGAAAAAGATATTTAGCGAGATATCCTCCTTGATGTTCACAAAGGGGTCGTTCAACCCCTCTGAAAATGCATTCAGAGGGCTCTAGAATTCTTGATTGAAAACAAGAGGCCCTTTTCTAGAGGGCTACTTCACCACTAGAACATGTGTGGGTACAACCTCTGAGGTTGTACCACCGCGCCAGTTCTATAGAGAATGACCTTCACCTTCGTCTGGAGGACCACTACCCATCCCATGTTTTAGAGGAAATACCGACAGGGACTGTCGCTGTATAGTCGTTGGGATTCATCATGTTCAAACCACCAAATAGCCATTGAGTTCCCCTTCAAAGTAATAGAGATCCCCAGCCTCATCTGTCAAAAGCCTGGTCTCACTTCGCAAGTCCAAATCTGCCTGCAACCTTCTTGACTTCTCCCTGCGACCCTCTTGAGTTCTCCCAGACCTACTTCCTGATCTATTGACTGATGAACTTTTTTGTTCACGGAGCTGCCTCTTCCCGTCTTCCCGTCTTCCGGAAATCACACCCTCTCGGAGCGTCGGCGGCACCCATCACCGGAGCGGTCGCGTGGCGCCACGCCCCACGAGCCTTGGAGGATGCTTGCTAAGTTCCCACCAAGACCTCCGAGACCATCCAACGCTTCCTGGAACGACCGAGACCACGGTGCTTGGACCAGCGGTCCGCTGGTGTGGAACCGCACGTGCATTGATTCAGACCTCAACGATGGTTCGAAAGGAGTCGAAAGGTCGGTCACTGATGGATACGTTGCCTGGTTTCTCAGGTGCAAGAGCCTAGAGCAGTCTCTTCCCTTTTGAATGGCAAGCACGAAAAACCAGGCCAAGTCCCGTTCCAAAAACCACAGAACACTCGGGCTGGACTCCAGCTCTCTTTGGCCGCGCGAATCGACCTCGTTTCGCTCCCCGGCGGGGCGACCGTCTCCGGTCCTCGCCCCGGATCGTGGGCTCGGCGACTCTCCCGGTGACGTACTTCGTCTCCATCCACTCCACCATCCAGCGGTAGTTGTCCACCTCTGGCGGTCGATCGGAGATCCAGACACCGAGAGCAGCGCATGAAAATGATGAAACCTCATCTCTTTCGAATTCAGAGAATTTGTATGAAGTGGTCCCTCACCACACATCTTGCCCGCCCTCTCTCATGTTTATCACACCTTTCCCACCGCCCGACACCCACCGAAAGCGCCTCGTGGAGCTTCTTCAGCGCAAAGTCCCGGACGCGTCCGCTGAAGCCGCCGGCCTCGCAGAGATCCACGAAGTCGGCCAACCTGCCGACGGAGCGGAGAGCTTGCGGCGTTCCGACGGGGATCCTACTGTAGGGGTGACCGGTGACCTGTCTGGGAAGCTGCGCAGAGCTGTGCCGAGCTTCCTGAGAAGCTGAAGTTGGAGTTGGAGGTTGATCCAGGTTGGTGTGGAGCGAGGGTGGTTGGAAGGGTCCGGGTGCGGTGCGAGAGCCGTTTGGGGAGATTTTAATGGGGAGTAAAAGTAAAAACACTTTCAACTCCCCCAGTACCCACGGTCAGGGTCCGGATGGATCCGCAAGTCTCGTGCCCAATCAATGAGTTTTGGTCGATTTTCCTTCTTCCAGGCGGTCTTGGGGAGGCCTCCCTAGTGAAATACACACCCATGTTGATCCTGAAGTCATGGGCAGACCATCCCCACTGGCACCTCTCAGCGACCATGCCGGGGTCTCCATCCGTGATGTGTCCTGGCAACAACTTCCCTATACTCAATCTCTTCGCGTCAAAAAGTGCGACGTGCTCGTCCATCCCAAAGCTTGGTGGAGTTCTACTCCACAGATCCGGAAACAAAACTGGCTCAGGTTCAAAAACCAAGATGAGTCTGGATCTGGTGTGAAA